CACACACACACACACACACACATTAACACACACACACACATTAACACACACACACACACATTAACACACACACACACACACACATTAACACACACACACACACATTAACACACACACACATTAACACACACACATACACACATTAACACACACACACACACATTAACACACACACACACACACACATTAACACACACACACACATTAAACACACACACACACATTAAAACACACACACACACATTAACACACACACACACACATTAACACACACACACACACATTAACACACACACACATTAACACACACACATACACACATTAACACACACACACACACATTAACACACACACACACACACACACATTAACACACAAACACACATTAACACACACACACACTCTCACCCACACACACACACGCGGCGCCCCCTGCTGGCCACACTCTGACCCGTTTCCCCTGCAGAGTCTCCCAACGCGTCCAACCTGAAGATCTCGCGCATGGACAAAACGTGTGGATCGGTTCTGGGAGGAGACGAGATCTTCCTGCTGTGTGACAAAGTCCAGAAAGGTGAGGGACGCTTCGTGGTCGGGTCGCCGGTCGACCAATGACCGTCTCTCACCTGTCCGTCTCCTCAGACGACATCGAGATCCGTTTCTACGAGGAAGACGAGGACGGGTGCTGGGAGGCCTTCGGGGACTTCTCTCCGACTGACGTCCACAAGTCTGCAGCTACGGAGCTACAAAAGGCTCAAAAAACATTTCTGAACCTGGAAACCTGAAGAATTATTTTGAAACACAAAGAAAATTTAACATGATAAATATTTTGGAAATAAAAAATTATATTGAAAAGGGCTTGAAAAATGATTTGTGAAATAAAAACATTTTTAAACATTTTTAGTTTTCAGTTTTATTGAGTTGAAAGTCAGATAAGAACCTGTGAAGGTCAGAGGTCAAACCACCACCGTGACACGCGTCACTTCCTGTCTGCAGTACGCCATTGTGTTCAAGACGCCTCCGTACCACAGCGCCGAGATCGACCGGCCCGTCACCGTCTTCCTGCAGCTGCGCCGCAAGAAGGCCGGCGACAGCAGCGACCCCAAGCAGTTCACCTACGTCCCGCAGGTCCAAGGTGAGTCCGTCCGGTTACCATGGAGGCCAGGCTCCGCCCACAGCGCTTCCATGACGCCTGCTGCGTTTCAGACAAAGAGGAAGTCCTGAGGAAGAAGCAGAAGCCGCTGCCGCACTACGACTCTTGGAGAGGAGGGCGAGGGCGCGACGGAGGGCCCGGCGCTGGCGGCTTTGGATCAGGACCAGGAGGACCAGGTGCGGTGCAGAGAGACAGATCAGAACCAGAACCAGAGGACAGTCCTCTGGTTCAGAGTGGGACAAACTCAGAGGAATCTTCCAGAACCCAAACGGGACAGAAACAGAACCGTTTGGGATCCATGCTTGGACCTGGCGAGGTTCTGATTCTGGTGTCTAACGGCTCGTCTCTCTTCAGGTTTCCAGTTCTCCCAGATGAACGGAGGACCAGGAGGCGGAGCTTTCTACACCGGATCCTTCACGGGCTTCACCTCAGGGGGAGGAGCCCAGATGTCAGGCTCCGCCCCTCCGACGTCAGGCTCCGCCCCCCAGCAGAGTGAGGGCCAGCCAGGCTTGGCTGTGCAGCAGCAGCTGCTTCGGATCGGTGAGTGTGCAGCACCGAAACGCGGCCGGTTCTGTTCCGTGGTTTTGGTTCTGACCCGGCCCGTGTCTCCCAGCCGCCTCCCTCAGCAGCCGGGTGTCGCAGAGCGCCCGGCAGACAGCCGCCGCCCTGCTGCAGTACTGCAGCACCGGAGACGCCCGCGTCCTGCTGGCGCTGCAGAGACACCTGTGTGGCATCCAGGATGCCAACGGAGACACGTGAGTCCCACCACACCTCGCTGGTTCTGGTCCGGACGGACCGGTCTAACTGCCGGTGTCCCACAGGCCGCTGCACCTGGCCATCATCCACCAGCAGACGGCCGTCATCCAGCAGCTGATCCAGACGCTGCTGAGCAGCCAGCAGCGCGCCGCGCTCAACACCTGCAACCACCTGCAGCAGGTAGCCTGCTACGCTAGGCTAGTTACGCTAGGCTACATTTCTACACTAGCTACAATCTGCTACCACGCTAATCTAGCTATGCTAGCTACACAAGATATGCTACGCTAGTCCTGATGGCCAGCTGATGTCCTGACTCCGCCCACTCCACAGACGCCGCTCCACCTGGCGGTCATCACACGGCAACTGAAGGTAGCGGAGGTGCTGCTGCGGGCGGGGGCCGACCCCACCCTGGTGGACAAAGATGGCCGCAGCCCGCTTCACCTGGCTGCTCTGGCCGGAGACTTGGCCACGCTGCGCCTCCTGCTGGCCCACCTGGGAGAGCGCCACGCACACCTGGTGAACACGCCGGACTACCACGGTGAGGGGCGGAGCCAGAGCCGAACCTGACGCGTTGGCGAGGCGCTGAGCTGTGGCTGTGTGTCCGCAGGTCTGCAGCCGCTCCACCTGGCCGTCAGGAGGGACGGCGAGCGCTGCCTCCGCCTGCTGGTAGAGGGCGGAGCCAAGATCAACGCCGCCGAGCTGAAGAGCGGAACACGCCGCTGCACCTGGCCGTCAGAGAGAACCTGTTCAAAGTGGCCTGCACGCTCATCACTGAGGTAACAGCCGACAGGAAGGGCCGGGCCTCGTTTCCACCTGAGCCGCGTCTGCTAACGCTGCGTCTGCTCTGCAGCTGAAGGCCGACGTCAACACCTGCACCTTCGGAGGAAACACGCCGCTGCACCTGGCGGCCAGCCTGGGGTTCCCCACGCTCTGCTCCATGCTGATCGCTGCAGGTGAGGGAACTCCAGGTTCACCTGGAGGACCAGGTTCTGTCCAGCTGCAGGTGACCTGTGAGCGTCTCCTGTTTCAGGTGCCGATAAGAACATGGAGAACGACGAGCCGCTGTACTTCAGCTCGTCAGAGGAGGAGGAGCGGACCCGGACGAACCAGTCAGAGGAGACGACGCGCAGCCAATCATCAGCCGGAAGAGGCGGGCCAGAGGCCACACCCCCCTGGACCTGGCCACTTGTCAGAAGGTAAGAGCTGCAGCGGCGGGGCGGGGGGGCGGGGCGGGGCTGTGGGCGTGTCTCACCTGCCACTGTTCCTCCAGGTGAGGAACCTGCTGACCTCCAAGAGGAGCCCGAAACCCAGTCGCCACGCCGACAAAAAGATCCGGACCGGCAGCGAAGGTCGGTGCCCCACCTGGCAGGTAACCTGTGTCATGTGACCCCGCCTAACGTTCGGCTGCCGCAGATGGCGAGGTCGGGATTGACGAGGAGACGTGAGCCGGCTGGTGGCGGTTCTGAGCGTCGGCGACGTTCCCTGGATGAAGCTGGCCGAGAAGCTGGGCATGATGACGCTGACGCACCTGTACGAGGACAGCGCCACGCCCTGCCAGCACCTGCTGCAGCACTACAAGGTACCCGCCCGGTCCTGACCCGGCTCTGACCGACCCGGCTCTGACCGACCCGGTCCTGACCCATTCACTACATGTGTCTCTGTGCTGCAGCTGGGTGGAGGTCCGGTTGAAGGCCTGGTGGAGGCGCTGCAGGCTCTGGGGCTGACGGAGGGAGTCCGGCTGCTGAGGAACACGGAGCTGCAAGACGACAAGCACAGCTCAGGTAGGTCTGACGGTCAGAACCCACACAGAACCAGAACCAAGGGCCCACAATGACAGTCAGACTGAGTCCAGATACTGACCCAGTCTGGTTCCGCTAAGGAGAGACCATCAGCAGGGTTAGCATGAACTTAATATGGTCTGAGAAATGTTCCCGACTTCCTGGTATTTGTCCAATCAGACGCCACGGTGGACAGCGGCTTCAGCAGCCAGCCAATGGAGGAGCAGCAGGAGGAGGCAATGACCAATCAATGAGCAGCAATGGGGTCATGTGACTGCTGAGGAAGGATCAGCTGATGAAGACAAGTTTGTTCTGCGCTGGAGACAGAAATGCTGCAAAGTGGAGAAAAATGCTGCAAATCGGATCAACAACCCCCCTTCATCATCATCATCATCATCATCCTGAGCTGATTCAGCAGAAACTGGAACTTTGACTTTTATTTATATTTTAACGTCCTTTGGTTTCATTCGTCTTCATATCAAAAAAACTGAGACAAAACTGGAATTTTCTGGTTTCTGTGGGTGTTTGAATGCAGCGCCGCACCTTGTTGACTCACCTGTCAGGTGTAGAAGACCATTGATGCCAAAATCATGTTTAATGTTGTAAAAATGTTTCCTTTGAGAATAAATGCTGTTAAACTGTAGAGATTTAAAGGGACGGCGCGTCTTTCAGTTGGTTGTTGGGAAGCTGAGCCGTCAGTATCTGACCTGCAGGAGGCGCTGTGGCTGGACATAGACAGGCGTGTCCAGCTCTGGACCGGTCCTCTGTAGAGCCATCAGAACCTCTTGGAGGAAAACGGGTTCTGGAAACATCAGAACTTCCGGTTCTGAGGAAGCAGCAGGAGAGCAATGCTGAGCAGAGCTCCACCTACTGGCCGTCACTCGCAATTACACCAATCCTTTAGGGAAGGACAGAACTCAAGCAGGAATCAGCTGACCTTTGACCTCTGATGCTGCTCATAAAGAGGTGTTTGAGGTAATTTTCTGACTTGGCTGAAGTTTATTGTTTCCTAAACTGGTTTTAGACCAGCTGATCATCAGATTTCTAATCCCATTTATGTAACCGAGTGCGCTGCTGTTCAATAGAAGATCTCTGCAGGTAACAAAAGAGAAAAAAATCCAAAATATCTCGTTTCCAAAACAAGACAAAAAAATCAGTCAACTTGGAAAAACTGAAATTAAGAATTTTTTATTTTCAAATTAAATTTGTCTAAATTGAAGGAAAATCTGTTTTGTCCTACTGGACCTCACTGAAGGAACTTCTGGTCCATTTGGACCTGTCTGAACAGAACTGACTGGAATAAAAACCCGACCCAGATGTTCGGTTCCGGTCCATGTTTTTATTTTGCTCAATGGTTCGAGACGGAAAGGGACATCTGTACAACACAGGCCGGTTCCGGTCCGATTCGACCTGGTTCTGACTCAAAGCAAAGTGCGGCTGTATGGCTTCTTCTGGTTCTGAAGGTCCAACTTTATTTACAACAAATTTCTGACGTCCGGTCGGATCCGGTCCGACTTATTTACACAGAACCAGAAATTGCAGTTCTGGTACTGCAGTGACTCCGTTCGCTCTGGACCGACCAGAACCGGTCTTGGTCTTCAACTGCAGCCTGAGGAAGAGGACGGGTTGGTCTCGACACTTACTGGTTCTGATCCAGTCTGAATCTGAACAGAACCCAGTTTGGTTCTGATGGTCAAAGAAAAGAACCTGACTCTTGAAGAGTTTGGTTCTGATCCAGTTCCCTGCTGCCAGTTGGAGGCGGATCAGAACCAGAAAACTTTCATACTGATACTGATGATCAGTTCTGTGAGCTTTCCTGTTCTTCGGCCTAAAACATCAAACGTTGGTTCTGGTTCTGATCCAGTACGACTGACTGTCGCCCCCCAGTGGCAGCATCAAGAACCACAGCCTGGACAATAAACGAACAAACACACACACACACACACACACACACACACACACACACACACAGAATCTGGTCAAATAAAAACAGAAGTGAGACATCTTCCAGCACAGAGGATCTTTGGTTGAATTCAGGATCCAATTAAAATTCTGTGAATGAATTTCACATCTGGAACATTTTTTACTCTGAGCCGGGTCCAGAATCCAGAACCGGAACTGGAGGTTCTGCATCAGTTGGACTGATCTGCAGGTTAAAATGGGGATCAGTTTTTTTGTCCCTAATGGTTCTCCGTACTTCTTGTTTGTCTCCAGCAGAACCTGAAGGAAGGAGACAGGAAAGTTCTGGTTCTGGTCGGTTGTTTCCTCTCAAGTTCCATCTGAGACGATGCAACTATAATTTCCTCTGATGCGTTGGTGATCTTGAACGCGCCACTCTCAGTTCGCTGCTCTGAAATAAAGCTTTTACTGTGAAAGGCCAGCGGCTGGAAGTGCTTCCTGGATGAGCGTCTGTTTTCCCACCGTTCTTGAACGTCTCGCTGGGAGCAAAGTTCCTCAGCGTTTTGTCCGACGGCGCCTGAACGTTACGCCGTCTCCTCCTGCTTGCTGCTCTGCTTCTGAAGCTCCGTCCTGTGGCCGTTCTTTGGCCCCGCCCCCTCCTTGGCGCCACTCTTCGTCACCGAGGATGAGGACGAGGAGGGCGTGGCCTTCAGGCTGCGGGACGTCTTGGCGCCGCGGCTCTTGTCCTGGGCGTCTTGGGGCAGCGAGGGGCTGGAGTGCGCCCTCTGCAGGCCGGCGTCGCCACAGAGCCGCGCCTCGAAGGCGGCCAGGTCGGCGCCGCCGTCCGCCATCTTGGCCCGCAGCAGCATGGCGTACGTCCCGTACCGCGTCTTCTGCAGGAGAGAAGAGCAGAACCGGGTCAGCAGCGGGTTCTGGTTCTGGTGAAACTTCAGTATCTGGTCCGTCAGAACCAGATCAGAACCGGGTCACAGAAAGCAGAATTTTCCTGACCCAGATCCTAGAATTACACCTCTAAGGTTCTGGTTCTGATTGGACCGCTCGTCTCCTCCGTGTCCTGGCGGTGGCAGCTTGTTACCATGGTAACCGGCTGCCGGTTCTGTCGGACCATCTGGCGCTCAGCAGAAGGTGTTTTCTCCTCTCTGGCCCGGTTCTGCCGACCCGTCCTGCTCCAGCGTTCAGAACATTCGGGAGGTTTTGATTGGATCCACCAGAACCATTTGGACCTGTTCAGAATCGTTCCGACCCGGTTGGACCCGGTGATTCTGCTGTTGGTCTCCAACCTGAGGAGTTCAGAACCAGAACCAGAACCCGACAGCTCACCTCGAACTCCAGGTATTCCCTCCGCAGCTTCTGTTCCTCCAGCTCACGACCTTTGACCCTGCGGTCGGGCGTGCGCGGCGGCGAGCTCCGTCAGCTCCGAGGAAACCGCCCGGAACCGGTTCTCATGGGCCTGGAGCTGCTCGTCCTGGACACAGAGACACGGTGAGGACGGAACCAGGACCCGAAGGGTTCCGGTCGGGTTCTGGTCGCTACCTGGGTCAGCTTGGTGTTGGACCCGGGCAGCAGCGGGCGGCTGAAGCGTTTCTGGGAGCCGATGGCGGCCGGGAACGGAGGAGCAGAGAACATGGCCGCCACGGCGTTGATCCTGGTGATCCACGACTGCATCTGCTCAGCGCTCCTGGAAACCATAGAAGAAGACGTCATTACGGCGGCCATTTTAGGTTCACTTTTAAAAAGCTTTTCTGCTGCTTAACACCATTAGCATTTAAGCTAGTTTTAGCTCTTGAGCTAGCTTTAGCATTTAAGCTAGCTTTAGCTCTTGAGCTAATATGACCTGTAAAGCTGCTGGAACAGATTAGCTCTGTTCTGGACTCGCCTCTAGTTCTTGTGGGTTTGGTACTGAACATTTTCAGGCTTCTGCTTTTATTACTCTGCCAATTTATTACATTTCTAAAAGTCAAATGCTACAAAAATGTTCCCCTAAAACATTCAGATTACAGCTTTCACTCCTAGCGTCCCCTAATGTCCTCTAGCGCCCCGCCCCCATCATGTCCTCCGGACCAGAGGGGGCGCTGGCGGGGCGCTGGCGGAGTTCCTTACGGCGCCTGCAGCAGGAAGACCCTCCAGTCGGCCGTCCTCAGGTAGAAGACGTTGGGTCTCTTGTGGTAGTCGGCGGCCCTCATGGCCAGAGCGTGGTGGACGGACACGGCGTTCTTCACGTCGTCCTCCGTCGGCTCTCGCTCCGTCCGGTACTCGTCCTGCGAGGACACAAACGCACCGTGACCCGACCCGAACAGACGGGACCGGACCTCTAGAGGGCCTCTGACCCCAACCGCTCCACTGATGAACCAATGACATGCAGGGAGACAAAGTCCTGACCACCTTCACGGTTCTGGATAAATCTGATGTTTATCTGGATTCGCTGGACCTCTGATCTGCACTTCATCTCACCAGAACCAGAACCGGATCTGAATGTTGGGTGTGTTCTGTGTCTCCACTGCTGCTTGCAGTCTGGAGTCTCACCACTAGGTGAGCTCTACAGCAGAAGAACTAATCCAGAACCCTTTACCGGTCGCAGAAGTTCCGGACCACTGACGAATCAGAACGGGAGGAAGCGGCGTCTACTGCAGCAGGGGCTGATGGGAAACGGAGTCCAGGTGGTTTACCTTCTGCAGGTAGAGGACCAGACCCTTCAGCATGGCGTAGAAGGTTTTCCAGCCTCTCTTCCCCCGAGGAGCTGAAACAGAAACAACATGGAGCCCAACGAGGAAGAGGAGGAAGAGGAGGAGGAGGAAGACGAGGAGGAGGAGGAAGAATAGGAGGAGAATGAGGAGGAGGCGGAGGAGGAGCTGCGTACTTCTCTTCCCATCCGGGTCGGCGTGGACCTTCCTCACCAGGAAGCCGCTCTTGTAGAGTTCGCCATCAGCCTGCTGGGCCACGCCCACCAGCGGGTTGCATCCGGCGACGCGCCGCATGGTCTGGGAGGCGGAGTCGGTGCGGGCGTCGGCCAGCTCTGTCTCAGACTTCCTCAGCTCCTCTTCATCACTACGAGATGAAGAGTTTGGGTCAGACGGTTCTGGTTAGAGACCCAGACGCTCCGCCGGCACCAAAATGGAGGAACACCAGTCATCCAACCGCCATCCGACCATCATCCATCCATCTGTTCATCCATCTGTTCATCCAACCAGAGTCTGGGCTCTGGTTGGATGAACCAGTGGAACCTTGATCCCAATCAGGACTCGGTTCTGTTAGGGTCCTGATGGTGTTCTGGTTCTGATTGGTGCTGCAGGTCAGGTGATTAACCAGGAGGCACACACACACACACACACACACACACACACACACACCTACACACACATACACAGACACACACACACACACACACACACACACCCACAGACACACACAGACACACACACACACACACAGACACACACACACACACACACAGACACAAACACACACACACACACACACACACCTACACACACATACACAGACACACACACACACACACACACACACCTACACACACATACACAGACACACACACACACACACACGCACACACACACACACACACACACCTACACACACATACACAGACACACACACACACACACACACCCACAGACACACACAGACACACACACACACACACAGACACACACACACACACACACAGACACAAACACACACACACACACACACACACACCTACACACACATACACAGACACACACACACACACACACACACCTACACACACATACACAGACACACACACACACACACACAGAGAGAACACACACACACACACACACAGAGAAACACACACACACACACAGAGAACACACACACACACACACACACACACACACACACACACACACACACACACACACACACACACACTCTTCCAACTTGTGTTTACAGCTGCGAGAAGCGGGAGCAGTTGCCACAGCAACAGCGGCTTGAACAAGTGAATCGTTTAAACTCACATGGTCCACTGCAGCTTCTCGTTCCTGATGGAGCTGTACAGCGTCTGCAGAGAGAGCAGAACCGGGTCAGACAGGAACCGGGCCCATCAGAACCCGGTCAGAAAGGAACCGGGCCCATCAGAACCGGGTCAGAAAGGAACCGGGCCCATCAGAACCCGGTCAGAAAGGAACCATGCCCATCAGAACCCGGTCAGAAAGGAACTGGACCCATCAGAACCCGGTCAGACACGAACTGGACCTGACTGATGGAGGGTTCTGATCACCTGAGCAGACCGATCTGACAGGTCGGGTTAGTTTTCCAGCAAAGTGTCAGACCCGGTTCTGGTGTCCATCGGACCAGCTGTTTTATTGAATATCAGCTATAAGTTCCTGTTTGGGTCAAGAGGGGGCGCCACAGAGAGGACAGTTTCCAGACCGCAGAAACAGCAGCTAACCAACCGTGGACTGATAGCAGCTTCTGACCCGGTTCTGGTCGGATGTGGAGTCGGACTGCAGTGATCACGGTTGGCCGGTTTTAATTACTTCATCTTGTATTGATAATTTTTGTTTTTAATGTTTCTGTCAGCTTCAATCACTTCAGAACCAAGATGGATTCTGTTTCTAACATAATGATGAAGCATCAGCATTTAACCCGCAACACTTAGAAACAGTCCTGTAAAATAAGTCACTGTTATCTTACTTTGAAATGCAACCAGAAGTTCTGTCCTGGGGAGACGGATATAGAAACAGGAGACACCAACAGCGTCACGACCTGCCTGACATTATTATCACAGAGACGTGAAACTAAATAAATATGTAAAACTTCAATGCTAGAGAAGAAAGCTAATTACATTTAAGCTAATGGCAATTAAGCTAGCAATGTTTAAACTCGTAATATTTCAAAAAACAATGTTGAATGACAAATGTAATATTCGTCCAATCAGGGGTGACCGTAGAGGAACACCTTGTATTTTGGAAACGCCCACTTGGCTGCAGTCAGACATGATGGGAAAGGTTTCCGAAGCCGACGTGACCTGCATGTGCAGAGGAAAGTAGTTGTGATGAATGTTTGCATAGAAATGGGACGATTCAAAGAGATGAACCGTCCAGAGGAACCGTCATGCCCCCTCCGACCTGCAGGTGGCAGTAGAACCGCAGATCTTTCCTGCCACCGTAAACCTGACGAGATTCACATCTGGACCTACTGAGCCAGCAGAGGAGGAGCTGATGGGATTCACAGCTAAAAACACTTTTAAATTATTCTAATCTAATATAAAAGATTGGAGTAATATGTTAATAGATGATAATATGTTATTAACATCTTAATGGAATGTGGACATTTTGACCAGGATCCAAGTTAAAGTCAGATTTATGCTCCACTTTCTTCTCCCATGAATTCCTGCTGGTCTGTCAGCACCAGTGGAGCTGCTGCCCCTGGTGGCTGCAGGGCAACATGCAGCTCTAAAAACTTGGAATATTTTAAAAAACTTTTACTTTTTTAGGTATAATTTCAACAAGAAAATTCATCCCAGAAACATAAATGTGTAACTTCTTTATGATTCCAGATAATGGAGTTCTAACAGGACAGATGTGGAGGTTCTGTAGGCTCTGGACCTCCCGGTACCAGCTCTACCTTCTTCTTGCGGTTCTGTGGGTGCTGCTGCCGATCCTGGCTCTTGCCCAACAGGTCCGGGAACGCCAGCGGCTTCAAGGACCGGGACCGTGGCGCCCGCGGATACCGGAAGTCCGACTCCCTGGAGTCCCGGCTGGCGCCGCTTCGGACCGAGCAAAGCGAGCGCGAACGGTTCCGACCCGAGGAGTGGATGCTGTTGACTCCGATCATGGCGAAGCCGGGTCGACTAGGGTCCGACTGGAGGCGAAGCGGTTCTGATCCGAATGGTGTGTAAATACAGTCTGGACGGAGCGTTAGAGGTTCTGGTTCTGATGGATCCGGTCCCTCCAGCAGATCCAGTCGGAGTTCTGGGTTCGTCCAGCAGCTTCCAGATCCGTTCTGGAGGAAAATCCTTCCTTCAGATCAAACTTGTGGTTTCTGAACAAACTGTTTTTGTTCTTCAACGAGATTAAAAATATTTTGATGGTTTTAATTCCAGTAATTTCAGAATTGAAACAGAAATGAATCAGATTTCTGTTTTAGAGTCAGACGTTTGATTTCTGGGTTTATTTGGCGCAGAGATCGTTTCTTCTGATCGATGACGTATTTAAAGGTTTGTCCAGACTTTCCTCCTCTTCCTCTCTTCCTCTCTCCTCCTTCCTCCGTCTCGTTAAAACAATCCCAGACTCCGCGCGGTCCGGTCAGGCGGTTACCACGGCGATGCGACGCCTTGATCTCCCAGACAACGCATCCCGACTCGGACGGCGGCGAGGAGAATCCCTGGACTGCAAATAAACGTGTGACGATGGAGACTCATCAGCCAAAACCCAGAGGACGATGAAGGGGAGGAGAGAAAGGGAGGCTGGGGCGAGCGAGCACGCCCACACAGTCAGACAGAGAGAGAGTGAGGGAGAGGTGGGAGGATGAAGGTGGGGAGACAGAGGAGGAAAGTTTCTCCTGATCTGCCCTGAATCTGACACAATCCCTTCTCCTCTTCTGCAGCTGTTGATCTCCTCTCTTCCTCCTGCAGGAGAATCCCTCGTCTTCTTCAGGTGATCTCAGTCCTCCTCCTCTTCCTCAGACTGAAATGTTAAGGACTGTTTGCCCTCCTCCTCCTCTTCCTCTTCTCTCTCTCTCAATGCGCATTTTCTCTGAGCTCAGCAGCCAATCAGAGGCAGAGCCAGCAGCTAAGGCCCGCCCCCAGCTGCCAGTCATGAGCTGAATGTAGATGAAGCTCAGTGATGAAGTGGAAGATTTTATCATTTCAGAACTGAAAATTTTACTTTAATGTTTTAAAATCTAATTTTCATTGCTGTCTAATTTCTTCTCAAAATATCAAATAATCTTGAATGTTTTCATTTTTGTATTTTTTTATTTTAATATTTTTGAGAAAATATAAACAATATTTTAACACAAGTTTTAATCATTTGTTGTAAATTAAATTAAAATGCAATTAAAAAACAGAAACCAGTTTTAACTGTAAAGTTTCAAATACTCCATGCTGAGTTATCAAAGTTAATGTATAAATCAGATGAATTATGTCACAAATGACTAATAATGTTCTGTGGCATCTAGACGGTGACGAAAACCTGGTGGAAGGTGGCATTTCACCTTTCTGGTGAGTTGAGGGGCGGAGAATTGGTAGTTGAGGGGCACCAACCAACACCCGAGTTAGTCAGGGACATCTGAACACAACTCCACAGGCCCCGCCCCTCAACTCCACAGTCCCGCCCCTCAACTCCACAGTCCCGCCCCTCAACTCCACAGTCCCCGCCCTCAACTCCACAGTCCCCGCCCCTCAACTCCACAGTCCCCGCCCCTCAACTCCACAGGCCCGCCCATCAACTCCACAGTCCCCGCCCCTCAACTCCACAGGCCCGCCCCTCAACTCCACAGTCCCCGCCCCTCAACTCCACAGGCCCCGCCCATCAACTCCACAGTCCCCCCCTCAACTCCACAGGCCCCGCCCCTCAACTCCACAGGCCCCGCCCCTAAACTCTACAGGCTCCGCCCCTCAACTCGCCAGACTCCGCCCCTCAACTCGCCAGGCTCCGCCCTCAACTCCACAGGCTCCGCCCCTAAACTCCACTGGCTCCGCCCCTCAACTCCACAGGCTCTGCTCTAATTAACCTCGCCCTGGATGTCATTAGTTTAACCTGCCAAAAATTGATAGGTTTTCTGCACAATGTCCCTGCAATTCACCCAGGCTTTCAGTCTGGAACTAGTGTCACATTCAGGCCACTGGTTACCAGTCAATTTGAGAGTTCATCTTATTTTAAAGAGTCTTCATGGACCAGAAACACAGGAGAAGTTTTAGTCTTCGACACCAAAACACTGATATCATCAAACCAGCAACATCTCCGGGGGACGGGACTTTTTCAGTCAATTCTAGAAATTTTTTCCAAACATCTGAATGTGGTTTCATTTCCATGCTTCTGCGTTGCTCAAACAGGTTTTTAAGCGTTATTTAGATTAATTCCCTGATCAGATTTTGCTCTCTCATACAGCTGCCAAGATATTTCAGCAGAAATTTCTTGATTCTTCATGCAAACACTGATAGAGGATCAGAGCAGGAGAGCAAATTATTCCTGCTTTTCTGCCTCTCAGTCAGTCTGAGCTGCTGCCCACACACTCTTTGCTGCAGCCGTCCAACCAGCTGACAACTCAGCAAACGCTCTGCACACACATTAGCAACATGCATGATGATGATGAGCATGATGGAGGTGAAGAGGTGACGCAGATTCATGTTGATCGCTCTGAGGCTGAGGTGGAAACCGACCCACTCAGACATAAACACACACCAGACAGACAGAACTATCCACAGCAGCCAAGAAAACCAGTCAGAGTGCAGACAGTGATGCTGTCGCTACAGCAACGCACTGTAGATGAAATGTCCCAGTCCACCATGTCCATCAATACATCTATGACCGGGACCCACTTAAAGCTTGTGTCCCCCAAAGAGACGAGTTTATGTCAACGTGACGTCCCAACGAGAGAGAAAAACAGGTCTGTGTGTGTGTGTTTAAAGCTGGGATGTAAATGATCAGAACCAAAACAATCAAACATAAAACATTTCTAATTTACAAAAAAATCACCATTATGAGGGATTTATGGATTATCAGGATATTTTGAGAGTGTAAAAATATTTAAATAATAAAAAAATATTTATTTCATGATGACATTTTACCATTCAGAGAATAGTGTATCTTGGGGACATTTCTAGATTAGGAAGACAATGTATTTTTTTATTTCATTATGAGGACATTTTAACATTACATTTTGTCAGTTTTGATAAACTGCCTATATCTCCTGGAGAAGTGAGCTTTGATAATTATAAGTGCATTTCTGGATTTTAATTTTGTTTGACTTTGGGATTATAGTGATATTTTAACAAAAACAACTTTTTTAATCTGTATTTTTCTTGATTTTGATATTTTGTAATTATGAGTATTGTTAAAACATGAGTGCAATTTAGTAAAAAGAATAATTGTGAAAAATAAGTACTTTTTTCACTCATATATAGTAATTTGAACATAAAAATTGCTAGATTTTGTGAAGATTTTTAATTTGCGACCACATGTTGCTCTTTATAAAAGTGAAAAGCAACAAACATGAATCACCGCAGCTCAAACTGAATTCGGGTAAACAATGTAATCTGTGTAGATTAAGAGCCAGTGGGATCAGATCAACAGAGAGGAAGTTAAAGAGACACTTCTGCATTAAGAGGACGCCTGCGGGGACGTTCAGGAGGATGTTCAGGGCGACATGAGACGGGGACACACCTTTAGCAAGTCTTTGGGGAAGTCCTTCCCGTCGTTCAGTCCTCCAGGTTGGATATGAACTGGCTGCAAGACATCCTCTTCCCCACGTTCTGCACAGACAAGAGGTGAGGGGTTGCTTTGCTTGCTACAGTCGCCTCTGCTGTTACAGCAGAAACCTTTAGACCCGCTGCTTTCTGTGGTCATTGCCACGTCAACAAGACTCACTTCCTTAAACAGCATAAAATTCTGGAGCGGCAAAAAGCAGCTGACTCATGTAAACATTATTGTTAATAAATCAACATCAGAAGAATCTGTTTCAGAAATGTTAAAGTCATAAAAACGTCACTGTTATTCAGATTCATCAAAAATAATATATGTTTTTGTTTTTAAAAATAGTGAAATAATAAATAACTCATTAATTTAACCAAATATGAAATTCCATCCAATTGAAATGGTTAATGTGGGTTTATGTAACACCAGTGGAAAACAATTAGTATAACAGAGAGAAACCTGTATGTCGAAAATGTTCACAGGACAGAGGAACTCCAGTTCACTGTTTGTGGTATTGAAGGAAAATTATACTGTTTTGGAAAGAAGTAAAAGATTTAACTGAGAAAATAATTTCCAAACTAATTTTGGATCCAAAGCTGTTTATGTTTGGACGATAATCTGAAAAACATAATTATACTAAAAACGAAGGAAGATTTATAAACTTATGTTTGCTCACTACAAAAAGATGTATACCATTGTTCTGGAAGAAAACTCATGGTCCGACTAAACCAATAGCTGCAGCAGCAGATGCTATCTGCTACTACTATTACTGCTACTACTACAACTACTGCTACTGCTACTACTGCTACTGATACTAATGCTACTACTGCTACTACTGCTACTGCTACTACTACTACTGCTACTACTGCTACTACTGCTACTACTGCTACTACTACTACTGCTACTACTGCTACTGCTACTATTGCTACTACTGCTGCTACTGCTACTGCTGTTACTACAACTACTGCTACTGCTACTATTGGTACTACTGCTGCTACTGCTACTGCTGTTACTACAACTACTGCTACTGCTACTATTGCTACTACTGCTGCTACTGCTACTGCTGTTACTGTTACTGCTACTACTGCTACTACTGCTACTGCTACTAATGCTACTACTGCTACTACTGCTACTGCTACTACTATTACTGCTACTACTACAACTACTGCTACTGCTACTACTGCTACTGATACTAATGCTACTACTGCTACTACTGCTACTGCTACTACTACTACTGCTACTACTGCTACTACTGCTACTAATGCTACTGCTACTACTGCTACTGATACTAATGCTACTACTGCTACTGCTACTACTGCTACTAATGCTACTGCTACTACTACTACTGCTACTGATGCTACTACTGCTACTACTGCTACTGCTACTACTACTACTGCTACTAATGCTACTACTGCTACTAATGCTACTACTGCTACTGCTACTACTGTTAGTACTGCTGCTACTGCTACTGCTGCTACTACTACTATTTATGCTACTGTACTGCTACTACTGCAACTACTGTTACTACTGCTACTACTGCTACTAATGCTACTGCTACTACTACTATTACTGCTACTGTTACTACTACTGTCACTACTACTGCTACTGCTACTAATGCTACCACTGCTACTACTGTTACTACTGCTACTAATGCTACTGCTACTACTACTATTAGCTACTGTTACTGCTACTATTGCTACTACTGCTGCTACTGCTACTGCTGTTACTGCAACTGCTACTATTGCTACTACTGCTACTGCTACTACTGTTACTACTGCTACTACTGCTACTAATGCTACTACTGCTACTGCTACTACTGCTACTGCTACTACTATTACTACTGCTACTACTACAACAACTACTGCTACTGCTACTATTGCTACTACTGCTACTACTATTACTACTGCTACTGCTACTACTGTTACTACTATTGCTACTACTGCTACTGCTACTACTATTACTATTGCTACTACTGCTACTGCTACTATTGCTACTACTGCTACTGCTGCTACTGTTACTGCTACTACTGCTACTACTGCTACTGCTACTACTGCTACTGTTACTACTGCTACTACTGCTACACTGCTACTGTTACTACTGCTACTACTGTTACTACTGCTACTACTGCTACATTTACTACTGCTACTACTGCTACTGTTACTACTGCTACTACTGCTACTGTTACTACTGCTACTCCTGCTACTACTGCTACTACTGCTACTACTACTGTTACTACTGCTACTACTGTTACTACTGCTACTGCTACTACTGCTACTACTGCTACTGTTACTACTGCTACTACTGCTACTGTTACTACTGCTACTCCTGCTACTACTGCTACTACTGCTACTGTTACTACTGCTACTACTGTTACTACTGCTACTACTGCTACTACTGCTACTACTGCTACTGTTACTACTGCTACTACTGTTACTACTGCTACTACTGCTACTACTGTTACTACTGCTACTACTGCTACTACTGCTATTGTTACTACTGCTACTACTGCTACTGTTACTACTGCTACTATGCTACTACTACTACTGCTACTACTGCTACTGTTACTACTGCTACTGTTACTACTGCTACTACTGCTACTGTTACTACTGCTACTACTGCTACTACTGTTACTACTGCTACTACTGCTACTACTGCTATTGTTACTACTGCTACTACTGCTACTGTTACTACTGCTACTAATGCTACTACTGCTACTGTTACTACTGCTACTACTGCTACTGTTACTACTGCTACTACTGCTACTGTTACTACTGCTACTACTGTTACTACTGCTACTACTGCTACTACTGGTACTACTGCTACTGTTATACTGCTACTACTGCTACTGTTACTACTGCTACTAATGCTACTACACTACTGTTACAACTGCTACTACTGCTACTGTTACTACTGCTACTACTGCTACTGTTACTACTACTACTGCTACTACTGCTACTGTTACTACTGCTACTACTGCTATTACTACTGCTACTACTGCTACTACAAGTACTGCTACTGCTACTATTGCTACTACTGGTACTGCTACTGTTTACTACTGCTACTACTGCTACTGTTACTACTGCTACTACTGCTACTGTTACTACTGCTACTACTGCTACTACTGCTACTGTTACTACTGCTACTACTGCTATTACTACTGCTACTACTGCTACTACAAGTACTGCTACTGCTACTATTGCTACTACTGCTACTGCTACTACTGTTACTGCTACTATTGCTACTACTGCTACTACTGCTACTGCTGTTACTACAACTACTGCTACTGCTACTATTGCTACTACTGCTGCTACTGCTACTGCTGCTACTGTTACTGCTACTATTGCTACTACTGCTACTGCTACTGATGCTACTGCTGCTACTACTGTACTGCTACTACTATTACTGCTACTACTACAACTACTGCTACTGCTACTACTGCTACTGATACTAATGCTACTACTGCTACTGCTACTGCTACTACTACAACTGCTACTACTGCTACTACTGCGACTAATGCTACTGCTACTACTGCTACTGATACTAATGCTACTACTGCTACTGCTACTACTGCTACTAATGCTACTGCTACTACTACTGCTACTGATGCTACTACTGCTACTACTGCTACTGCTACTACTACTATGCTACTAATGCTACTACTGCTACTAATGCTACTATGCTACTGCTACTACTGTTAGTACTGCTGCTACTGCTACTGCTGCTACTACTACTATTACTGCTACTGTTACTGCTACTACTGCTACTACTGTTACTACTGCTACTACTGCTACTAATGCTACTGCTACTACTACTATTACTGCTACTGTTACTGCTACTACTGTCACTACTGCTACTGCTACTAATGCTACCACTGCTACTACTGTTACTACTGCTACTAATGCTACTGCTACTACTACTATTAGCTACTGTTACTGCTACTATTGCTACTACTGCTGCTACTGCTACTGCTTACTGTAACTGCTACTATTGCTACTATTGCTGCTATACTGTTACTACTGCTACTACTGCTACTAATGCTACTACTGCTACTGCTACTACTGCTACTGCTACTACTATTACTACTGCTACTACTACAACAACTACTGCTACTGCTACTATTGCTACTACTGCTACTACTATTACTACTGCTACTGCTACTACTGTTACTGCTACTATTGCTACTACTGCTACTGCTACTACTATTACTATTGCTACTACTGCTACTGCTACTATTGCTACTACTGCTACTGCTGCTACTGTTACTGCTACTACTGCTACTACTGCTACTGCTACTACTGCTACTGTTACTACTGCTACTCCTGCTACTACTGCTACTGTTACTACTGCTACTACTGTTACTACTGCTACTACTGCTACATTTACTACTGCTACTACTGCTACTGTTACTACTGCTACTACTGCTACTGTTACTACTGCTACTCCTGCTACTACTGCTACTACTGCTACTGCTACTACTGTTACTACTGCTACTACTGTTACTACTGCTACTGCTACTACTGCTACTACTGCTACTGTTACTACTGCTACTACTGCTACTGTTACTACTGCTACTCCTGCTACTACTGCTACTACTGCTACTGTTACTACTGCTACTACTGTTACTACTGCTACTACTGCTACTACTGCTACTACTGCTACTGTTACTACTGCTACTACTGTTACTACTGCTACTACTGCTACTACTGTTACTACTGCTACTACTGCTACTACTGCTATTGTTACTACTGCTACTACTGCTACTGTTACTACTGCTACTAATGCTACTACTGCTACTACTGGTACTACTGCTACTGTTACTATGCTACTGTACTACTGCTACTACTGCTACTACTGTTACTACTGCTACTACTGCTACTACTGTTACTACTGCTACTACTGCTACTACTGCTATTGTTACTACTGCTACTACTGCTACTGTTACTACTGCTACTAATGCTACTACTGCTACTGTTACTACTGCTACTACTGCTACTGTTACTACTGCTACTACTACTGTTACTACTGCTACTACTGTTACTACTGCTACTACTGCTACTACTGGTACTACTGCTACTGTTACTACTGCTACTACTGCTACTGTTACTACTGCTACTAATGCTACTACTACTACTGTTACTACTGCTACTACTGCTACTGTTACTACTGCTACTACTGCTACTACTACTACTGCTACTACTGCTACTACTGCTACTGTTACTACTGCTACTACTGCTATTACTACTGCTACTACTGCTACTACAAGTACTGCTACTGCTACTATTGCTACTGTTACTACTGCTACTGTTACTACTGCTACTACTGCTACTGTTACTACTGGCTACTACTGCTACTGTTACTACTGCTACTACTGCTACTACTGCTACTTACTACTGCTACTACTGCTATTACTACTGCTACTACTGCTACTACAAGTACTGCTACTGCTACTATTGCTACTACTGCTACTGCTACTACTGTTACTGCTACTATTGCTACTACTGCTACTACTGCTACTACTGTTACTACTGCTACTACTGGTACTACTGCTACTGTTACTACTGCTACTGTTACTACTGCTACTACTGCTACTGTTACTACTGCTACTACTGCTACTACTGCTACTGTTACTACTGCTACTACTGCTATTACTACTGCTACTACTGCTACTACAAGTACTGCTACTGCTACTATTGCTACTACTGCTACTGCTACTACTGTTACTGCTACTATTGCTACTACTGCTACTGCTGCTACTGTTACTGCTACTACTGCTACTACTGCTACTGCTACTACTGCTACTACTGCTACTGTTACTACTGCTACTACTGCTACTACTGTTACTACTGCTACTACTGGTATTACTGCTACTGTTACTACTGCTACTACAAGTGCTGCTACTGCTACTATGCTACTACTGCTACTGCTACTACTGTTACTGCTACTATTGCTACTACTGCTGCTACTGTTACTGCTACTACTGCTACTACTGTTACTGTTACTACTGCTACTACTGTTACTACTGCTACTACTGCTACTACTGTTACTACTGCTACTACTGCTACTACTGTTACTACTGCTACTACTGCTACTACTGGTACTACTGCTACTACTGCTACTACTGGTACTACTGCTACTACTGTTACTGTTACTTCTGCTACTACTGCTACTGTTACTACTGCTACTACTGCTACTACTGTTACTGTTACTACTGCTACTACTGTTACTACTGCTACTACTGCTACTACTGGTACTACTGCTACTACTGCTACTACTGCTACTACTGCTACTATTGTTACTACTGCTACTACTGCTACTACTGTACTACTGCTACTACTGCTACTACTGTACTACTGCTACTACTGTACTGTTACTTCTGCTACTATGCTACTGTTACTACTGCTACTACTGCTACTACTGCTACTACTGCTACTGTTACTTCTGCTACTACTGCTACTGTTACTACTGCTACTACTGCTACTACTGCTACTACTGTTACTGTTACTTCTGCTACTACTGCTACTGTTACTACTGCTACTACTGTTACTACTGCTACTACTGTTACTGTTACTTCTGCTACTACTGCTACTGTTACTACTGCTACTACTGCTACTACTGCTACTGTTACTACTGCTACTACTGCTACTGTTACTACTGCTACTACTGCTACTGTTACTACTGCTACTAATGTACTGCTACTGTTACTACTGCTACTAATGCTACTACTGCTACTGTTACTACTGCTACTACTGCTACTACTGCTACTGTTACTACTGCTACTACTGCTACTGTTACTACTGCTACTACTGCTACTGTTACTACTGCTACTAATGCTACTACTGCTACTGTTACTACTGCTACTACTGCTACTGTTACTACTGCTACTACTGCTACTACTGCTACTACTGTTACTGTTACTACTGCTACTACTGCTACTGTTACTTCTGCTACTACTGCTACTGTTACTACTGCTACTACTGCTACTGTTACTACTGCTACTACTGCTACTGTTACTACTGCTACTACTGTTACTGTTACTTCTGCTACTACTGCTACTGTTACTACTGCTACTACTGCTACTGTTACTACTGCTACTACTGCTACTGTACTTCTGCTACTACTGCTACTGTTACTACTGCTACTACTGCTACTGTTACTACTGCTACTACTGCTACTGTTACTTCTGCTACTACTGCTACTGTTACTACTGCTACTACTGCTACTGTTACTACTGCTACTACTGCTACTGTTACTTCTGCTACTACTGCTACTGTTACTACTGCTACTACTGCTACTACTGTTACTGTTACTACTGCTACTACTGCTACTACTGTTACTGTTACTTCTGCTACTACTGCTACTGTTACTTCTGCTACTGTCATACTTTGCAGAATGTTCAAGGTGTTTGTCTAAACTGTTAAAATTACAGTAAAGATATTTTTGGAAAAATAGTTCCTGTCGGGAAGCCAGTCATGTGACCACATCAGTAAACCTGATGAGGAAGACGAAGGAGACACTCACGTTTCCATGGAGATCAGTGTTCAACAGCATGACGGCGCAGGTGAGGGTGTGGACGCTGTCTGAGAGAGAGAGAGACAGCGAGGGGCAGATGAGACAGCTAGGTGTACTACAGGTGAACATGTGAGGTTCAGGTGAAGTTCAGGTACCTTCAGTGGACAGCGTCTGGGGGTTACACTGCCTGTATCTCCTGGAGAAGTGAGCGAGGACTCTCTCTCTCTCCTGGGTTTCTCCCATCAGAGAAAAACCGGGTCAGAAACGTCCTGAACCAGAACCAGAAGTCAGAGAGACACTGGATCAGAACTCGGGCTGAAACGATGCTTCGAACGATTCGAGTACCTCAAATCTTAAAATTTCTCGAGGAAAATGTATCTGCCTCGAAGCTTCATTAGTTTATGTTTTATTATTTAGCACCGTGCTCCAGCCGCGCGGAGCTCTGACTTCCGCCTCTGAGTTGTTGACAAAAGCTAAGTGTTAGCAGTATAACGTCCGATTTGTAGTTCAGCCTGTGAGAATTTTATGATTGGTGAGCATGTCCTGGTTTTCATGGTTTTTGGGGACCAATAGGCATCCAGCTGCCGCGACAGCTGCAGTACGGCAGCTTTTCTCCTCTGGAGCTGCTGGTTCAGGGAGGGACGGCGGGAAGAGCTGCAGGAGTATTGATACTGGTAGCAGATAGACTGAACATGGCGGGCGGCTTTGTTCAGTCTCATATCACATATGAGACGGGGATGGAGCGCAGCCCGATCTCATATGTGATATGACGTCTCACGTTGAGGCGCCATGTTGCAGGTAGATGTTTCTGTGAGTGACGAACAAAGGAGTTAAATCCCGTCGCCAACATGAATACAAAAACTATAAATGTTTGGGCAAGGCGAGAGTTCACCTGTTAAACTGACTGAAGATGAAACCAAAAGCTGGAGCACAGACATTTTTATAAGTGTATCTGTGAGCCTGCTTTTTATTATTATATTGAATATGATTTCAGATTCTTGTATAACTTTTCTTAGAAAGTGAGCTGTTATTGTTACAGGATAATTCTCTAAGCTACAGAAAAGTTACTGTTAAGGCAGCTCTAATGTGAAAAACTGGACTGATGTTGATAACACAGCTGTTATGTTAGATTTAATAATGTTTTATTTGATCTTTTTTTATCCGATTATCCGTAAGAAAAATCGATAGATTTCTCGAATCCTAACATTGGTTTATAACAGCCCTAATCAGAACCAGAACCTTTCACTCATTCATTGATTCAGTAGTTGACCTTCCTGTTTAACCTCATCAGAAACTGGGCCAGAACCGAGCCTAGTACCAGAACCAGCACTCACCTGAGAGCCTGGTCGATGTTCAAAGCCGCTGAAGTTGAAGTGCTCCAGGTACTCCTGCGCCACCAACTGGCTGAAGTCGTTACTGCAGGATAAGAACAGGAAGCTCAGTCAATCCAGAACATCCGACCCAAACGCTCTGGTTCCAGAACGGGTTTGGACCCAGACTGACTTCTTGCTGAGGTGCGGTGCCACGTCGGACTTGCGAAACCCGTCCAGAGCATAGAGCCGCTTGGCGAGGCGCCGGGCTGCCTCCAGGTCCGGTTTCAGGCCGTTGGTCAGAACCTCCAGAACCTCTGGGTCGAGCTGGTCCGCTTGACGCTCCCTGGAGACACGATGAGAGTCACTCAGCAGAACCAACAGAACTGCAGGCTGTCTGACCCATCGCCGTGCAACACAGCAAACAAACAGCTGCTGGACTGGTCTGGACCGTTGGTACCGACCCAAACAGAACTTCTGCTTCTGGCTTTCAAGAGTCAGAAAGGTTCTGATTCCTTCGGTTGGAAACACAAAGATGAACCCAAAGTTCTGATCAACAGCTGAAGAAGCAAACAACTGGGTCCAGAGAGAACCTGCCAACACTCACCAAGCGTCTAGTCAGAACCAGAACCCTAACCTGGACCAGAACCAGAATCCTAACCTGGACCCACCGCTTGACTACAGGGCTGCCTTGGTCCTCCATGGCGCTGCTCCGGTCCGGCCCGGCTACCAAATGGACCTTTTGGTGCCACCGCAGGAAGTGAAGTCAGAAAGGAGGAAGTGGGTCAGCCGCAGCGTGGACCCGACCCGGTTCCTGTAACCGGCCCAGCTTCCTCCCACTGTCGCTATGGAAACCACACCACCAAACATCCCATGATGTCTGAGCTTGAATAATGCTGCTACCAGAACCGGCTAACCAGAACCGGCTAACCAGAACCGGCTAACCAAACTGGCTAACCAGAACGGCTAACCAGAACCGGCTAACCAGAACTGGCTAACCAGAACTGGCTAACCAGAACCGGCTAACCAGAACCGGCTAACCAGACTGGCTAACCAGAACTGGCTAACCAGAACCGGCTAACCAGAACTGGCTAACCAGAACCGGCTAACCAGAACCATCTGTAGAACCTCCAGAACCATCTGTAGAACCTCCAGAACCATCTGTAGAACCTCCAGAACCATCTGTAGAACCTCCAGAACCTTAGTCCGGTTCCAGTCTGCCGCATTTCCCTCCCAGAGGACAGGAAGTTTCCTGGAGGAATCCGGATGTTTCCGTCTGCAGCTCCTTCCTGCTGGAGAGACGCATCCAGAGCAGGAAGCTCCCTGCTTCACCCCATCTGAACCAGAACCAGAACCAGAACCCAACCTGCAGTGCTCCAAGGTATTGCAGTGGTTTCTGAGTGGGACAAGCTGTCTGTCTATGTGAGTAAAAGATTTCCTCTACATAAATCATAAGACATGGCGACATGTGACGAGGACTTCGTCCAACTTTTAGTGTCACTTGGAAGAGAAGCTTAAAGAAAGGTAAGATATGTGATGTCAGCAAAGCTAGCTGTACAGAGTCTCATATGTTGCATCTGCAATAAAAAATGTGTGGAGGTGTTGACTGAGGTGTCGCATATATGGGACAACGCTGTGACCAAAGTCTGCTGTATGGTGAAGTGATATTCACAAACCATCTGATTGTTCTGGACGGATCTTTACTAAGTCCTATAGGACTGAAGCCTCACCGAGAGGCGGTCTTTGTTCTTGTGATGCTCTGCATACACTGCAGTAGCTATTATGTTATTTAATTAAAATATATGTAGATTTATTTAATTGGTGAATAAATAAAACTAGAACGCAGAGCATGCTCATTGCTCTTTGATTGTTTGCGTCTCCTGTCATGGTGGCAGACAGGTGAGAACAGTCATAGTCCTTCTGCTTGGTTACTTCTTGCTTGTTGCGCTTGGACAGTGTTAATAGTTGAGCTTTGTGTACCATTAATGCATTGTCTTAATCACTATGTTTAATGATGCAGACAGTTGTGGTTTCTGACATGGGCGATATGGGCAACTGCCCAGGGCGTTATCTTTTAGGGATGGCATTTTTTTTATGGGTATATTTGAAGGTCCCTGTGAGACTGACCTGTGTTTAATTCTCGCTTTGAATGCTGAATATTTACATCTAACTCACATCGGGTTCTGGCAGCGATTAGTTCTGTCTGCACCACTCACCAATCACAGGCAGGTCTGTTTCATCCAATCAGAGTTCGCCTCACAAATCCTGCATTCAATTCAATAAAATAGTCAATAACATCCCAGGAAGCAAAACGTGACTAAAAAAACACATGAAAACTTCATAATAGAATTAATGGAGTTTTTCACCCAGCAAATGTTTTCTCATCATTTCCAGTTTTCCACCAGGTGATTACTGAACCCCGAGCAGCAAAATATTGACATTTGATTGATATGTTTTTTCATATTATAAGACTATAAACACATTAGTACTTGAGCAGATTTTAAGATTTATGTCAACTGTAATATTTGGTAAAATAAAAACCAAATGGACGCTAACGGGCCAACAGAGCTAGCATGTTACCGCCAGGCTGAGCTAGTTTTCTGGAGAAACTGCATCAGATTCTTGGACCGGTTCTGTTCAGATCTCTGTTGGATCTGAACCATCAGAACCTTCCCGACCAATAAACCCACAGCTCCAATCCTAACGCCAGCCCAGCTGCTAGAACCAGAACCATTCTGGGTCCATACTGCAGAGCATTCAAAGAGCTAATGTAGCTAAACATTGAGAAACATTTCCTCCATCTGAAGAGTTCATATGAAGTCCATCACCATGACGATAAGACAGTCTGAACGAGCGTACGGCCCAAACTACCTCTGGTTCTGCTCAGTTCAGTTTCAGGTTATGTTTAATCAGAGGCAAATATAAGCAGAGTGAGACGTCTGTCGAGTTGAACTGCTTTGGTGTCTAAACCAGAGCAGAGTTCTTTCATCTGGACCAGAACCGAACCAGAACCTGATCATAACCGTCCTGGTCAGGACAGAAAGCTGGGACCAGACAGAACCGAAACCAGACAGAGAGGAGTCAGAGCTACAGTTCTACCATTTGGATTAGAACCCAGACCAGAACCAAACCCACTGACAGAACCGGAACCAGCTACAGCAGATGGAGACTCTGTTGAACCTGGCTGACTCGGTTCTGATCCGGCTGGAATCCTCAGAACCCCTTAGGGTCCAGTTTGTATCCGAGCCATAAAGAACTAACTGAATCCGATCCATTTTCAGCTCGCTGTACCTATAAAGTGGCCGGTGAACACATATCTAAGAACAGGCCTATCTCAGGAGTTCTAGTCCAAACCGGGCCGATCTGCAGATCCTGAGCTTCCTGATCCTATCAGAACCGGCCAGAACCATCAGAACCGGTCCAGAACATCAGAACCTGGTCCAGAACCATCAGGACCTGGTCCAGAACCATCAGAACCGGTCCAGAACCATCAGAACCGGTCCAGAGCCTCACCTGTACACGGCCGGGTAAGGTAGCAGGTACCGATCCTCCAGAGCCCCGCCCCCCAGCACAGCAAGTAGGTCGCCATTACGACCTGGCCCTCCCACAGTCCCCCTCTCAGTGGCCAATCAGACGGCCTCGGCACCTCTGAGGCATTATGACATATCCTGGTACGACATCATCTCCTGTTCTTGTTCTGAGGCTCTGAAAGCCGCAGCGTTCCCTCGGCTTTCCAGCTTCCCAGCGTTCTCAGTCCGATCCTCCTGGTTTCCCTCGGAGGTATGAGCTTCCTCCCGGGCCGACAGGAACGCTCCTCCTCCTGCTTTTCCTCCTCCTCTTCCTCTCTTTGTCTCCTCTTCCCTTCCTGGAAGTTTCTGTCTGCGGTTTGCTGAACTTCTGCTTCAGAATTAATTCTGGACAGAACCAGGACCTGAGCCCAGCAGAACCTGACTCCGATGGAGACATCAATGAGAGGAGGTCAGAGGTCACAGATGGTAGAGATCAACACAAATTTCAGGGAGGAGGAAGAAGAGAAAGGTTTCTGTTTTTCTGACAGGAGTGGGAGGTCTTTCTCTCCATCCCGTCTCTGAGATTCAGTCTGGATGAAATCATGAGGAATTTCCCTCCCAACCTCCAATAAATGGACACGAACGTGTGTGTGTGTGTGTGTGTGTGTGTACGTGTGTGTGTGTACGTGTGTGTGTGTGTGTACGTGTGTGTGTGTGTGTACGTGTGTGTGTGTGTGTGTGTTTACGTGTGTGTGTGTGTGTACGTGTGTGTGTGTGTGTACGTGTGTGTGTGTGTACCTGTGTGTGTGTGTACGTGTGTGTGTGTGTGTACGTGTGTGTGTGTGTGTGTACGTGTGTGTGTGTGTGTACGTGTGTGTGTGTGTACCTGTGTGTGTGTGTGTGTACGTGTGTGTGTGTGTGTGTACGTGTGTGTGTGTGTGTGTGTGTGTGTGTGTGTGTATGTGTGTGTGTGTGTGTGTGTGTGTGTGTGTGTGTGTGTGTGAGCAGCAGCTGCTGTTGCTGTTTGGCTGCTCCCCTGGTTTGCATTCCTCCGGCTCTGTGGTTCTGACCCGTTTCCTGGTGCAGACAGTAAAGCCCGGTTCTGTTTGGGTCGGTTCTTTTCTGGTGGGTTCTGGGCGTCTACACTCAGCAGGATGAGATATGGCGGAAAGCCGATCTTTCACTCCAATGAGAGTTCAGGAAGTAAACACTCAGAACAGGAAACAGGAAGTTAGAAGATATTTTCAGTCCAAGAAGAAGAGACCTTCACTGAACCAGGGAAAGGTCAAGAGGTCAGCTTGGACCAAGCTGGAACGTTCTGGTATGAAGAGCTGCTGAACTGAAGGCATGGTTCTGCAGGAAACAATGGAGTGGACCCAACCCAGAAGTTCTGGAGGCTTCCTTTGGATGAATGGAACCGATCAAACCCATCGGATGGTTCTGGCGGTCATGTGACCCTGCAGGTGTCAGAACCAGCCGCTGAGTCGTGACAGATCTCCTCTCTGTTTTCCTGCCTGTGGTGACTCAGTGTTGCCATGGTGACGAGCTGAAAGGCCTCCAGGTGCGGATGACGGCAAGATGGCGGGAATGGGTCGGCTCAGAAGTGCGGCTCGGCCCGGCGCTCCGTCTGCTGCAGATACTCCAGCTGGTGATGATTCAGGAGACGAACAGAGATCCACAGAGATTCATGAAGGCCGTAGAACCGGGCCGGCTGGTTCTGCTGATCCGACTGGTCACCATGTGCACCGGCGGTCGGGAATCGAACCTGGGACCGCTTCGTTTGGACGGTTGGCTCTGCGCCGAGCCACCGTCACACCATCAGCCAGAAACCAAACATTAAATGACCTTAACACAGTTCTGGTCTGGACCTGGTTATTAAAGGCACTGGCTACAAAGCTAACATTAGCATAAGGGCTAATACTATTATTGCTATTATTACTATTATTACTATTATTGCTATTATTACTATTATTGCTATTATTACTATTATTACTATTATTGCTATTATTACTATTATTACTATTATTGCTATTATTACTATTATTGCTATTATTACTATTATTGCTATTATTACTATTATGACTATTATTACTATTATTGCTATTATTACTATTATTACTATTATTGCTATTATTACTATTATTGCTATTATTACTATTATTACTATTATGACTATTATTGCTATTATGACTATTATTGCTATTATTACTATTATTGCTATTATTACTATTATTGCTATTATTACTATTATGACTATTATTACTATTATTGCTATTATTACTATTATAACTATTATTACTGTTATTACTATTATTGCTATTATTGCTATTATGACTATTACTATTATAACTATTATTGCTATTATTACTATTATGACTATTATTACTATTATTGCTATTATTACTATTATGACTATTATTACTATTATTGCTATTATCACTATTATGACTATTATTACTATTACTATTATAACTATTATTGCTATTATTACTATTATGACTATTATTACTATTACTATTATAACTATTATTGCTATTATTACTATTATTGCTATTATTACTATTATGACTATTATTACTATTATTGCTATTATTACTATTATAACTATTATTACTATTATTACTATTATAACTATTATTGCTATTATTACTATTATGACTATTATTACTATTACTATTATTACTATTATAACTATTACTATTATAACTAATATTGCTATTATTACTATTATGACTATTATTACTATTATAACTATTATTACTATTATAACTATTATTACTATTATTGCTATTATTACTATTATGACTATTATTACTATTATTGCTATTATTACTATTATTGCTATTATTACTAATATGACTATTATTACTATTATTGCTATTATTACTATTATAACTATTATTACTATTATAACTATTATAACTATTATTGCTATTATTACTATTATGACTATTATTACTATTGTTGCTATTATTACTATTATAACTATTATTACTATTATAACTATTATTGCTATTATTACTATTATGACTATTATTACTATTATTACTATTATAACTATTATTGCTATTATTACTATTATTGCTATTATTACTATTATTACTATTATTACCATTATAACTATTATTGCTATTATTAATATTATGACTATTATTGCTATTATTACTATTATTACTATTATAACTATTATTGCTATTATTACTATTATTGCTATTATTACTATTATAACTATATTACTATTATTACTATTATGACTATTATTACTATTATTGCTATTATTACTATTATGACTATTATTACTATTATTACAATTATAACTATTATTGCTATTATTACTATTATGACTATTATTACTATTACTATTATAACTATTATTGCTATTATTACTATTATTGCTATTATTACTATTATGACTATTATTACTATTATTGCTATTATTACTATTATAACTATTATTACTATTATAACTATTATTGCTATTATTACTATTATGACTATTATTACTATTATAACTAATATTGCTATTATTACTATTATGACTATTATTACTATTATAACTATTATTACTATTATAACTATTATTACTATTATTGCTATTATTACTATTATGACTATTATTACTATTATTGCTATTATTACTATTATTGCTATTATTACTAATATGACTATTATTACTATTATAACTATTATTACTATTATAACTATTATAACTATTATTGCTATTATTACTATTATGACTATTATTACTATTGTTGCTATTATTACTATTATTGCTATTATTACTATTATAACTATTATTGCTATTATTACTATTATAACTATTATTACTATTATAACTATTATAACTATTATTGCTATTATTACTATTATGACTATTATTACTATTGTTGCTATTATTACTATTATAACTATTATTGCTATTATACTATTATTGCTATTATTACTATTATGACTATTATTACTATTATTACTATTATAACTATTATTGCTATTATTACTATTATTGCTATTATTACTATTATAACTATTATTACTATTATAACTATTATTGCTATTATTACTATTATTGCTATTATTACTATTATAACTATTATTACTATTATTATTGTTATTACTATTATTGCTATTATTACTTTTCCTATGATCGCATCAGGGCCCACGCAGGGAAGCAGCCGGTGATGGACCCACTCAGTTCTGCAGGGTTCTGAGTTCCGGTCAGATCGGTTCCGGTTTCTGGGTTTGTTCTGCTCATAAGAAACTGATTGGGATTTCTGCTTCAGCTGGTTCTGTTAGACCTTTGGTCTAATCTGAATGAGTTCTGATTTTTCTGCTGCTGATCAAAACCAGTCAACACGACCAGAACTACATGGAGGTGCTGCCTCCCTGTGGCCACTCAGTGGTACTGCAGCAGGCTCTACAGTCAGAAGGTCCAGAAGCAGAATCTCTGCTCAGAACAGAACCATCCAGCAGAACCCGTCACAAGCAGTCGTCTGGATCAGAACCTTTGGGTGGGACTCACCTGCTGTGCAGCACTGGCACCGACGTCGCCTTCCTGAAGCTGTCTCTGACGATGGAGCGCCGCCATGTGTCCTTCTCAGACCGGGATCGGACCGGGGGGCCCGGCCCGGCGCCGAGGGCCGTGTCAGAGGAGGACGACTCGGGCCGGGTCAGCGGAGCGAAGCTCAGCTCCAGGATCTGCTTGGCGCTCTCGCAGATCTGACTCTGGACAGAGAAACGGGTCAGTGGCGGCCCGGTGCCATGCGGCCACTGACCCGGGCCCTCCAGAACCGACCTACCTGTATCTCGGGGGTGAGCGTGGGCAGGTCGAAGGTGAAGACGGAGGTGGATCCGGAGGTGAGCAGGTCCACGCTGTCCAGGCTGCTGTATGACGTCCCCTTGGCGCGGTGCGACTCCATGATGTTCTCGAAGTGGCGGCTGAACGAGTCCAACTGGCTCTCTGACGGTCGCCGGGCGACGACCGCCGCCGGCGACCTCAGGCCGCCGTGGTCCTCGGATGGCGGTGCCGTGGTTCTGGAGGAGGAGACGGGTCAGACCTGAGCGGTGGTTACCGTGGAAACCAGAGGAGGACGGCCTCACCCCTTCAGCAGCAGACCGAGGACCTCGTCTTCCTCTCTGGCGGCGCGCTGCCTCTGGCGGTCGCCCTGCATGCGGACGCTGGCCCAGCTGGCCACGCCCTCCTCCTCCTCATCTTCCTCGTCCTCCTCCACCTGGCCGTTTTGCTCCCTGAGGCCCGTCGGGTCGAACCTGGACGACCCGTCCTCCGGGCTGAAGCAGGACTTTCCCAGAACGCTGCGGCTGAAACCCGGACCGGCCTCTTCGGCGGTCTCGGCCTCCGCTCGCATCACCTGCAGGGGGCGGGGCGATTGTCGCATCGGTTATCGAGGCGATAAATTTTGATCAATAAATTACAACATGCAGTCCTTCAGAAACTAGAAATTATTGGTTTTTATCGTAGAACCATAAAATATTGCGATACAACTTTAACTTTATATCAGCCAAAATCAGAACTAGTTCACCTCGTCCAAGTCCGTCTGAACTGATTCAGTAAAGTGAACCAGTTCACCTCGTCCAAGTCCGTCTGAACTGATTCAGTAAAGTAAACCAGTTCACCTCGTCCAGGTCTGTCTCCCGGTAGCAGCGCAGCGGCACGGCGTCCAGGTCCGTCTCAGAGTACTTGATGGACCGCCGGATGATGCCGGTCTTTGGGGCGGGGCTTCGGGGGTCAGGGGTCACCAGCTCCACCTCGACCTGCTGCACCTCGTGATGAGAGAGCTTCTGGTTCTGCTGGTCCCTCCCCCTCCTCTGATTGGTCAGCTGCAGGTGGAGGGAGGAGGGCGGGGTGGTGCTGGGCGAGCCGCTCGGTGGTGGCGTGAAGGACGAAACGTCTGCATGAAGAGATTGAATAAACTTTATTAATCCCCAGGAGGAAACGACGTTTCAGGCCAAAGAACAAAACAACAATTCATCCCTCACAGAGTGAGTCCATCAGTTTCCAGCTGCATGAGTCCCACTGAGGCAGAGTGGGTCCCAATGGGGCAGAGTGAGTCCCAACGGGGACAGAGTGGGTCCCAACGGGCAGAGTGAGTCCGTTTGAGGCAGAGTGGGTCCCAACGGGGCAGAGTGAGTCCGTTTGAGGCAGAGTGGGTCCCATTGGGACACAGTGAGTCCCATTGAGGCAGAGTGGGTCCCATCGGGGACAGAGTGGGTCCCATTGGGACAGAGTGGGTCCCAACGGGGACAGAGTGAGTCCCATTGAGGCAGAGTGGGTCCCATTGGGACACAGTGGGTCCCATCGGGGACAGAGTGGGTCCCATTGAGGCAGAGTGGGTCCCAACGGGGACAGAGTGGGTCCCAACGGGGCAGAGTGGGTCCCTTTGAGGCAGAGTGGGTCCCAACGGGGACAGAGTGAGTCCCATTGAGGCAGATTGGGTCCCATTGAGGCAGAGTGGGTCCCAACGGGGACAGAGTGGGTCCCATTGGGACACAGTGGGTCCCATCGGGGACAGAGTGGGTCCCATTGAGGCAGAGTGGGTCCCAACGGGGACAGAGTGGGTCCCAACGGGGCAGAGTGGGTCCCTTTGAGGCAGAGTGGGCAGGGGACAGAGTGAGTCCCATTGAGGCAGATTGGGTCCCATTGAGGCAGAGTGGGTCCCAACGGGGACAGAGTGGGTCCCATTGGGACACAGTGGGTCCCATCGGGGACAGAGTGGGTCCCATTGGGACACAGTGGGTCCCAACGGGGCAGAGTGAGTCCCATTGAGGCAGAGTGGGTCCCATTGGGACAGAGTGGGTCCCACTGAGGCAGAGTGGGTCCCATTGAGGCAGAGTGGGTCCCAACGGGGCAGAGTGAGTCCCATTGAGGCAGAGTGGGTCCCATTGGGACAGAGTGAGTCCCATTGAGGCAGAGTGGGTCCCATCGGGGACAGAGTGGGTCCCATTGGGACAGAGTGGGTCCCAACGGGGACAGAGTGGATCCCATTGAGGCAGAGTGGGTCCCATTGAGGCAGAGTGGGTCCCAACGGGGACAGAGTGGGTCCCATTGGGACACAGTGGGTCCCATCGGGGACAGAGTGGGTCCCATCGGGACAGAGTGGGTCCCAACGGGGCAGAGTGAGTCCCTTTGAGGCAGAGTGGTCCCGTTGGGACAGAGTGGGTCCCATCGGGGACAGAGTGGGTCCCATTGAGGCAGAGTGGGTCCCAACGGGGACAGAGTGGGTCCCAACGGGGCAGAGTGGGTCCCTTTGAGGCAGAGTGGGTCCCAACGGGGACAGAGTGAGTCCCATTGAGGCAGATTGGGTCCCATTGAGGCAGAGTGGGTCCCAACGGGGACAGAGTGGGTCCCATTGGGACACAGTGGGTCCCATCGGGGACAGAGTGGGTCCCATTGGGACACAGTGGGTCCCAACGGGCAGAGTGAGTCCCTTTGAGGCAGAGTGGGTCCCGTTGGGACACAGTGGGTCCCATCGGGGACAGAGTGGGTCCCATTGGGACACAGTGGGTCCCAACGGGGCAGAGTGAGTCCCATTGAGGCAGAGTGGGTCCCATTGGGACAGAGTGAGTCCATTGAGGCAGAGTGGGTCCCAACGGGGACAGAGTGGGTCCCATTGGGACACAGTGGGTCCCATCGGGGACAGAGTGGGTCCCATCGGGGACAGAGGGTCCCAACGGGGCAGAGTGAGTCCCTTTGAGGCAGAGTGGGTCCCGTTGGGACAGAGTGGGTCCCACTGAGGCAGAGTGGGTCCCATTGAGGCAGAGTGGGTCCCATTGAGGCAGAGTGGGTCCCGTTGGGACAGAGTGGGTCCCACTGAGGCAGAGTGGGTCCCAACGGGGCAGAGTGAGTCCGATTGAGGCAGAGTGGGTCCCATCGGGGACAGAGTGGGTCCCAACGGGGACAGAGTGAGTCCCATTGAGGCAGAGTGGGTCCCATTGAGGCAGAGTGGGTCCCAACGGGGCAGAGTGAGTCCCATTGAGGCAGAGTGGGTCCCATCGGGGACAGAGTGGGTCCCATTGGGACAGAGTGGGTCCCAACGGGGACAGAGTGAGTCCCATTGAGGCAGAGTGGGTCCCAACGGGACAAACCGGGTCCCATTGAGGCACAGTGGGCCCCATTGAGGCAGAGTGGGTCCCGTTGGGACAGAGTGGGTCCCACTGAGGCAGAGTGGGTCCCATTGAGGCAGAGTGGTCCCATTGGGACAGAGTGAGTCCCATTGAGGCAGAGTGGGTCCCATCGGGGACAGAGTGGGTCCCAACGGGGCACAGTGAGTCCCTTTGAGGCAGAGTGGGTCCCGTTGGGACAGAGTGGGTCCCACTGAGGCAGAGTGGGTCCCATTGAGGCAGAGTGGGTCTGGTCGGGGACAGAGTGGGTCCCAACGGAACAGAGTGGGTCCCATTGGGAAAGAGTGGGTCCCATTGAGGCAGAGTGGGTCCCAACGGGGACAGAGTGGGTCCCAACGGGGACAGAGTGAGTCCCATTGAGGCAGAGTGGGTCCCAACGGGGACAAAGTGGGTCCCATTGGGACACAGTGGGTCCCATCGGGGACAGAGTGGGTCCCATTGGGACAGAGTGGGTCCCATTGAGGCAGAGTGGGTCCCATTGAGGCAGAGTGGGTCCCGTTGGGACAGAGTGGGTCCCACTGAGGCAGAGTGGGTCCCATTGAGGCAGAGTGGGTCCCATTGAGGCAGAGTGGGTCCCGTTGGGACAGAGTGGGTCCCACTGAGGCACAGTGGGTCCCATTGAGGCAGAGTGGGTCCCATTGGGACAGAGTGAGTCCCATTGAGGCAGAGTGGGTCCCATCGGGGACAGAGTGGGTCCCAACGGGGCACAGTGAGTCCCTTTGAGGCAGAGTGGGTCCCGTTGGGACAGAGTGGGTCCCACTGAGGCAGAGTGGGTCCCATTGAGGCAGAGTGGGTCTGGTCGGGGACAGAGTGGGTCCCAACGGAACAGAGTGGGTCCCATTGGGAAAGAGTGGGTCCCATTGAGGCAGAGTGGGTCCCAACGGGGACAGAGTGGGTCCCAACGGGGACAGAGTGAGTCCCATTGAGGCAGAGTGGGTCCCAACGGGGACAGAGTGGGTCCCATTGGGACACAGTGGGTCCCATCGGGGACAGAGTGGGTCCCATTGAGGCAGAGTGGGTCTGGTCGGGGACAGAGTGGGTCCCAACGGAACAGAGTGGGTCCCATTGGGAAAGAGTGGGTCCCATTGAGGCAGAGTGGGTCCCAACAGGGACAGAGTGGGTCCCAACGGGGACAGAGTGAGTCCCATTGAGGCAGAGTGGGTCCCAACGGGGACAGAGTGGGTCCCATTGGGACACAGTGGGTCCCATCGGGGACAGAGTGGGTCCCATTGGGACAGAGTGGGTCCCAACGGGGCAGAGTGAGTCCCTTTGAGGCAGAGTGGGTCCCGTTGGGACAGAGTGGGTCCCACTGAGGCAGAGTGGGTCCCATTGAGGCAGAGTGGGTCCGTTGGGACAGAGTGGGTCCCATTGAGGCAGAGTGGGTCCCGTTGGGACAGAGTGGGTCCCACTGAGGCAGAGTGGGTCCCAACGGGGCAGAGTGAGTCCGATTGAGGCAGAGTGGGTCCCATCGGGGACAGAGTGGGTCCCAACGGGGACAGAGTGAGTCCCATTGAGGCAGAGTGGGTCCCATTGAGGCAGAGTGGGTCCCAACGGGGCAGAGTGAGTCCCATTGAGGCAGAGTGGGTCCCATTGGGACAGAGTGAGTCCCATTGAGGCAGAGTGGGTCCCATCGGGGACAGAGTGGGTCCCATTGGGACAGAGTGGGTCCCAACGGGGACAGAGTGAGTCCCATTGAGGCAGAGTGGGTCCCAACGGGACAAACCGGGTCCCATTGAGGCACAGTGGGCCCCATTGAGACAGAGTGAGTCCCATTGAGGCAGAGTGGGTCCCATCGGGGACAGAGTGGGTCCCATTGGGACAGAGTGGGTCCCATTGAGGCAGAGTGGGTCCCATTGAGGCAGAGTGGGTCCGTTGGGACAGAGTGGGTCCCACTGAGGCAGAGTGGGTCCCATTGAGGCAGAGTGGGTCCCATTGAGGCAGAGTGGGTCCCGTTGGGACAGAGTGGGTCCCACTGAGGCAGAGTGGGTCCCATTGAGGCAGAGTGGGTCCCAACGGGGCAGAGTGAGTCCCATTGAGGCAGAGTGGGTCCCATTGGGACAGAGTGAGTCCCATTGAGGCAGAGTGGGTCCCATCGGGGACAGAGTGGGTCCCATTGGGACAGAGTGGGTCCCAACGGGGCAGAGTGAGTCCCTTTGAGGCAGAGTGGGTCCCGTTGGGACAGAGTGGGTCCCACTGAGGCAGAGTGGGTCCCATTGAGGCAGAGTGGGTCCCGTTGGGACAGAGTGGGTCCCACTGAGGCAGAGTGGGTCCCGTCGGGGACAGAGTGGGTCCCAACGGGACAGACTGGGTCCCATTGAGGCACAGTGGGCCCCATTGGGACAGAGTAGGTCCCATTGAGGCAGAGTGGGTCCCATTGAGGCAGAGTGGGTCCCAACGGGGAAAGAGTGGGTCCCTTTGAGGCAGAGTGGGTCCCGTTGGGACAGAGTGGGTCCCACTGAGGCAGAGTGAGTCCCTTTGAGGCAGAGTGGGTCCCGTTGGGACAGAGTGGGTCCCACTGAGGCAGAGTGGGTCCCACTGAGGCAGAGTGGGTCCCATTGAGGCAGAGTGGGTCCCAACGGGGCAGAGTGAGTCCCATTGAGGCAGAGTGGGTCCCATCGGGGACAGAGTGGGTCCCATTGGGACAGAGTGGGTCCCAACGGGGCAGAGTGGGTCCCTTTGAGGCAGAGTGGGTCCCAACGGGGACAGAGTGAGTCCCTTTGAGGCAGAGTGGGTCCCGTTGGGACAGAGTGGGTCCCACTGAGGCAGAGTGGGTCCCGTCGGGGACAGAGTTGGTCCCAACGGGACAGACTGGGTCCCATTGAGGCACAGTGGGCCCCATTGGGACAGAGTAGGTCCCATTGAGGCAGAGTGGGTCCCATTGAGGCAGAGTGGGTCCCAACAGGGAAAGAGTGGGTCCCTTTGAGGCAGAGTGGGTCCCATTGGGACAGAGTGGGTTCCATTGAGGCAGAGTGGGTCCCATTGAGGCAGAGTGGGTCCCAACGGGGACAGAGTGAGTCCCATTGAGGCAGAGTGGGTCCCATTGAGGCAGAGTAGGTCCCAACGGGGACAGAGTGGGTCCCATTGGACAGAGTGGGTCCCATCGGGGACAGAATGGTTCCCAACGGGACAGACTGGGTCCCATTGAGGCACAGTGGGCCCCATTGGGACAGAGTGGGTCCCATTGAGGCACAGTGGGCCCCATTGAGGCAGAGTGGGTCCCATTGAGGCAGAGTGGGTCCCTTTGAGGCAGAGTGGGTCCCGTCGGGGACAGAGTGGGTCCCAACGGGACAGACTGGGTCCCATTGAGGCACAGTGGGCCCCATTGGGACAGAGTGGGTCCCATTGAGGCAGAGTGGGTCCCATTGAGGCAGAGTGGGTCCCATTGAGGCACAGTGGGCCCCATTGAGGCAGAGTGGGTCCCATTGAGGCAGAGTGGGTCCCATTGAGGCAGAGTGGGTTCCATTGAGGCAGAGTGGGTCCCATTGAGGCAGAGTGGGTCCCATTTAGGCAGAGTGGGTCCCGTTGGGACAGAGTGGGTCCCAACGGGGACAGAGTGGGTCCCAACGGGACAGAGTGGGTCCCACTGAGGCAGAGTGGGTCCCGTCGGGGACAGAGTGGGTCCCAACGGGACAGACTGGGTCCCATTGAGGCACAGTGGGCCCCATTGGGACAGAGTGGGTCCCATTGAGGCAGAGTGGGTCCCAACGGGGACAGAGTGGGTCCCATTGGGACAGAGTTGGTCCCTACGGGGACAGAGTGGGTCCCATTGAGGCAGAGTGGGTCCCAACGGGGACAGAGTGGGTCCCTTTGAGGCAGAGTGGGTCCCATTGAGGCAGAGTGGGTCCCATTGAGGCAGAGCGGGTCCCATTGAGGCAGAGTAGGTCCCAACGGGGCAGAGTGGTTCCCATTGAGGCAGAGTGGGTCCCATTGAGGCAGAGTGGTTTCCCAACGGGGCAGAGAGGGTCCCATTGGGACAGAGTGGGTCCCATTGAGGCAGAGTGGGTCCCAACGGGGACAGAGTGTGTCCCAACGGGGCAGAGAGGGTCCCTTTGAGGCAGAGTGGGTCCCATTGGGACAGAGTGGGTCCCATTGAGGCAGAGTGTGTCCCATTGAGGCAGAGTGGGTCCCATTGAGGCAGAGCGGGTCCCATTGAGGCAGAGTAGGTCCCAACGGGGCAGAGTGGGTCCCATTGAGGCAGAGTGGGTCCCATTGAGGCAGAGTGGTTTCCCAACGGGGCAGAGAGGGTCCCATTGGGACAGAGTGGGTCCCATTGAGGCAGAGTGGGTCCCAACGTGGACAGAGTGTGTCCCAACGGGCAGAGAGGGTCCCTTTGAGGCAGAGTGGGTCCCATTGGGACAGAGTGGGTCCCATTGAGGCAGAGTGTGTCCCATTGAGGCAGAGTGGGTCCCATTGAGGCAGAGTGGGTCCCAACGGGGACAGAGTGGGTTACATTGAGGCAGAGTGGGTCCCAAAGGGGCAGACTGGGTCCCATTGAGGCAGAGTGGGTCCCATTGGGACAGAGTGGGTCCCATTGAGGCAGAGTGGGTCCCATTGAGGCAGAGTGGGTCCCATTGAGGCTGAGTAGGTCCCAACGGGGTAGAGTGGGTCCCATTGAGGCAGAGTGGGTCCCAACGGGGACAGAGTGGGTCCCATTGGGACAGAGTGGGTCCCAACGGGGACAGAGTGGGTCCCATTGAGGCAGAGTGGGTCCCAACGGGGCAGAGAGGGTCCCTTTGAGGCAGAGTGGGTCCCATTGGGACAGAGTGGGTCCCATTGAGGCAGAGTGGGTCCCAACGGGGACAGAGTGGGTCCCATTGGGACAGAGTGGGTCCCAACGGGGACAGAGTGGGTCCCATTGAGGCAGAGTGGGTCCCAACGGGGCAGAGGGTCCCATTGAGGCAGAGTGGGTCCCATTGAGGAAGAGTGGATCCCATTGAGGCAGAGTAGGTCCCAACGGGGCAGAGTGAGTCCCATTGAGGCAGAGTGGGTCCCAACGGGGACAGAGTGGGTCCCAACGGGGCAGAGTGGGTCCCTTTGAGGCAGAGTGGGTCCCGTTGGGACAGAGTGGGTCCCAACGGGGACAGAGTGGGTCCCAACGGGGCAGAGTGGGTCCCTTTGAGGCAGAGTGGGTCCCGTTGGGACAGAGTGGGTCCCAACGGGGACAGAATGGGTCCCATTGGGACAGAGTGGGTCCCATTGAGCCAGAGTGGGTCCCAACGGGGACAGAGTGGGTCCCATTGAGCCAGAGTGGGTCCCAACGGGGACAGAGTGGGTCCCATTGAGGCATAGTGGGTCCCATTTGGACAGAGTGGGTCCCATTGAGGCAGAGTAGGTCCCAACGGGGCAGAGTGGGTCCCATTGAGGCAGAGTGGGTCCCAACGGGGCAGAGAGGGTCCCATTGAGGCAGAGTGGGTCCCATTGAGGAAGAGTGGATCCCATTGAGGCAGAGTAGGTCCCAACGGGGCAGAGTGAGTCCCATTGAGGCAGAGTGGGTCCCATCGGGGACAGAGTGGTTCCCAACGGGACAGAGTGGGTCCCATTGAGGCAGAGTGGGTCCCAACGGGGACAGAGTGGGTCCCAACGGGGCAGAGTGGGTCCCTTTGAGGCAGAGTGGGTCCCGTTGGGACAGAGTGGATCCCAACGGGGCAGAGTGGGTCCCTTTGAGGCAGAGTGGGTCCTGTTGGGACAGAGTGGGTCCCAACGGGGACAGAATGGGTCCCATTGGGACAGAGTGGGTCCCATTGAGCCAGAGTGGGTCCCAACGGGGACAGAGTGGGTCCCATTGAGCCAGAGTGGGTCCCAACGGGGACAGAGTGGGTCCCATTGAGGCATAGTGGGTCCCATTTGGACAGAGTGGGTCCCATTGAGGCAGAGTGGGTCCCATTGAGGCAGAGTAGGTCCCAACGGGGCAGAGTGGGTCCCATTGAGGCAGAGTGGGTCCCAACGGGGCAGAGTGGGTCCCGTTGGGACAGAGTGGGTCCCAACGGGGACAGTGGGTTCCATTGAGGCAGAGTGGGTCCCAACGGGGCAGACTGGGTCCCATTGAGGCAGAGTGGATCCCAACGGGGACAGAGTGGGTCCCATTGAGACAGAGTGGGTCCCATTGAGGCAGAGTGGGTCCCAACGGGGCAGACTGGGTCCCAATGAGGCAAAGTGGGTCCCATCGGGAACAGAGGGGGTCCCATTGAGGCAGAGTGGGTCCCAACGGGGCAGATTTTTTGCTTTGACCAGCCTGCTCATCTAGATGGACCCAATCAGGTCCACAGTTCAGTCACTGAACTGATTCACTGATCTGATCAGATCCTCTGTTCTGAATCAGTTCTTGACTGCTGGTTAAACGTCCTGCCGAATTTTCTGCTCAGAAACAAACCGCCCAATGGTGAAAAGGTCAAAGGTGGCTGGTTCTGTGGGTCGAGCTTGTCAGAACCGTTGAGCCTGGAGTCGCCTGATGGAGGCAGACGGCCTAAATAAAGGCCAGGAAGTGAGCTGGAGCTGGAAGGCTAAGCTGCTAATTGGCTTACTGGAAGCTGCTTGTTTACTTCTGCTGGATCCCCAGCTCCTCACTCGGACTGTTACCGGGTTCTGGTTCTGTCTGGTAAGGTACCAGATTCTCTTACCTCTGCTTCGGCGGCCCGGATCCGTCAGACCTCCAAACAGGAAGTCCCACTTCGCCCTGGCGATCTTCTGGGACCGAGACGAAGGGCTGGATGGAGCAATCCGGTCCGACTGCAGGAGAGAAACCAGAGACATGAAATCAAGTTCAATAACACCGGGTTCAACTGCAGCAGAACCAGGAAACCGAACCCGGATCAGTCCGTCTTTAACATTAGGAACCAAGGTCAGTTTTATGAACAAACAGGAAGTTCCCATCATCACAGCTTCCTGCTGAAGGAGAAGGTTCTGAAAGACCCAAAAGAACCGCATGGAACATACAGGAACATCCCAGATCTTTGACCAAAGGTCAACAGAACTGACATAAAATGCTGGGATTTATTAGTTTCAACAGGAAATTTCTCATCAGAGGTCAGAGGTCACATGTTGTATCATCCAAGGATCCATCCTTCTAATTCAATATCTATAAGGCCCCACTGGGTCAGATTACAACAGAAAATAAGATCAGTTACCAAAACGACACAGAAGCCACACAGCTCTACATTATGTTGTCACCAGGTGACCTTTGACCCCATCCAATCACTGAACAGATGCAGAGAACAGATCAGTTATTATTGGACCTAAAGCGGAATGATCTAGAGTTCTGATCTCTAGATCATTTTCTAGATCTAGAGCTCTAGATCTAGAGCTCTAGATCTAGATCACCTTCAGTTCTTCAAGTTTGAAACCAGAGATCAGGCTGACTTCTGACCTGAACCTTCAGAACCACATAAAGACGGTTCCAAACTGGGCCTTCTACCAGCTGCAGAGCATTTCCAGGACCAGAGACTAAAGTCTCAGATCAGAAAAACTCATCCAGGCTTTGATTCCTGCAACTAGAACCAATCACTCAGGTTCTAGTTCTGCTCTGCATCCCCACTACCAAAACCAAATATGGAGAAGCAGCATTCATCTTCTATGCACCACAGATCTGGAACAAACTTCAACAATAGTAAATGATGTTTGTCCTGATAGAGAGGACGGACAGCAGATCAAGTGCTGCCCTTCCCAACCCGGGCAGAGAGGAACCACCAGGAGGTTCAGTGGTTCCTGAGGAAAACATCTAAATATGATTGTTTCTAATAAAGTTTTATTGAGATCTGAGGTCATGTGACATTATTCTCTGACATTCTGTTCAAACACACCGTGGACCAGTCCCGCCTCTCCCGCCCTGTCCAGCCAACCTGCATCCCAGAACCACCGTCCGCAGTGCCGTGACTGGACTGGCTGGAGGTTTCAGGGGACACGCTGTGTCCCAGGCTTCCTGTGACCCCACTGGAGCTGGAGGACAAAGTCCCCGGGGGGGCACCATGATCCTGAGTCTCTTTCTGATTCTTGGACATTCCCAGAACCAGCAGCTGGCACTCCTGGGCTAGCTGTTTATGGACTCCTCGATCGTCTGGTCTACAGCATTGATCGCTGCTCTCACTGTGAACTCCAGAAGACGACTGATGGACAGTTTGTCCTTTGGAGGTCCATCTCCCCAGCGGACACTCTGCCCTCTGGCTGGATGTGTTGCTTCTGGGGACCTCGGGGCTGGATGCTGATGACCAGTCCAGCAGATCATCATGCTGCCTCTGCTCCAGGACCAGAGGTCTATGGTCGCTTGTGAGCTGAGTCGACTGGTACCGGTGCAAGTTGGACCCATCTTTAGTTGGTGACGATGTCCACATCAGTCGGGGATCCAACATGGGCGACCTGGAAGCCGGTAACTGATCCAACTTACTTAGCAAGGCAGGAGACACTGGTGGAGCTCTTTTGGATAACCCAGGAGAAATGCATCCTGGTTTCGTTTGCGGTACCAGTGTTTCTGGTTTCCGATTCTGGTTCCAGTTCTCCATCTGCAAAGCCTCAAGGGGAGATTGCCAGAGAGGAGATTCTTTTGGTAACGTTCCTGAATGTTTGGGACTCTCAGATCTCACAGAATCAGCATCAGAGGGAGTTGGAGAGGGGGTCCATTTGTACCGTCTGTCTGCAGAACCAACAGAGATTCTGTTGCACTCTCCAAGAACCTTACAATCCAGATCAGAGATGGAGTATGGAGAGATGCTCTTCCTGTCACTGATGGGACTGTTTGCATCGCTCGTTCTGCTGCTACAGCGGGACGGATGGTACGGACTCCTACTGCGGGGATCGCTGGAGCTGAAGCTCACAGGTTCTGCTGCAGGATGACTGGAGCTGGTCCTGGTACCAAGATTGTGGTAGGAGCTCCCAGCTTGGTGCTCAGTCCTAAAAGGAGTCTCATGCTGAATGTCTGTGGGTCTTCCTGCAGGTAACGGAGGGTGAAATTTATTGAGCAACCTATGACTGTCTTCATGCAGCCAGGACTTCTGTGGGCTTCGAGTAGGACCTTGGGGTCGGGTCATTGAGTAAAAAGAATCTCCTGTTTGAGCACATAAGCGGTCAGATGCAGGACTTCTGGGTAATCCGTTCACTGAACCATGACAGAACCTTCGATCCATCTCCAGGAACTCAGTCCTTGACGGTAGGGTAAGAGTACTTCGGGACAGGACAGGTGATCCACCCAAAGACCGGCAGCGAGGAGACTGAGAAGGTCGAGGTAAAGATGGACTGTGGCTCCCTGAAGCATGGCCTGCAAACCTGCGTCTTAGTTCTGGAGACCCAAACTCCTCTAAGGCCCGGTAGGTAGCATCTCTGGCCACTGCAACCATGGTTGCCTTTGATAAGTAGGGTTGTCCCCGTGAGGAGTCCCTCCTCGGCTGCTGTTGGTGGCTGTTGCCAGGTAAGGTTTCATCTCCGTACCACATTGGGTCACTCATCCTCTTCTTCAGATGAGCAGCAAGCTGCTGGCCCTCTGATCTTCTGTTAGCATCCTGTTGGTGTCCAGCCATGCTGCTGACGCTGCCTTTCTCTATGTATCCAAAGGACACCAAAGACATCCGTCCATCTTCTTCCACCATCTCTGGGACCTCACAAGACCTGGGACAGGTGGTGTAGGTGGAGGGCACAGTCAGCCAGGGTGAAGATGTAGACGATTGAAAGGAGGGATCAAAATTTTCATCCAAAGTTTCCTGATGGTGGAACTGGGCTGCAGAGGAGTGAGGGTTCTGGAGCTGGAAGCTGACTGAATGCCTAGAAGAAGACTTAGGGGAGCAGTGGTTTGCCCTTGGCGAACGGCGCGGTATCTCCGGCGAAAGATCTGGACTCCGATTGGGACTGGAGTGGCTGGAGCTCCTTTGGGAGGTAGAGACGAGATCTGGACACTGCAGCATCAACTGGTTGGTTCCACCATCGCCTCGCTCCAGGAACATCTCGTCCTCTTCTGAAACGGACCGGACTTCCACATAGAGGTGGAGAACTTTACCTGGCTGAGACATGGTGGCCACTTTAGCAACCTGCTCCTTCCTGCTAGCTAAATACTCAGTGAGCTGCTGGACTTCCATGAACCCTGCAGAACCCTGAAGCCTATGGTGCTTAGTCGAGAGAGCAGCAGGTCCATTGTCCATAAGCTTCTACAACCTGCAGCGAGAAAAACAAACCGAAAAAAAAAAAAATCTGTCAACTTTTCAACTCATCAAGTCATTGAGCTCAAATTTTTCCGTGTTTGAGACTGAATTAAAATACGTTCTTTAGACCCAGTGGTCTAAATCCACATGGACCACAGGTTGGAGTTCTCAGCTGCATCCTTCACTCCCTGTCTAGATCCTTCACTTCCTGTCTAGATCCTTCACTTCCTGTCTAGATGCTTCACTTCCTGTCTAGATCCTTCACTTCCTGTCTAGATGCTTCACTTCCTGTCTAGATCCTTCACTTCCTGTCTAGATGCTTCACTTCCTGTCTAGATCCTTCACTTCCTGTCTAGCACCTTCACTTCCTGTCTAGATCCTTCACTTCCTATCTAGATCTTTCACTTCCTGTCTAGTACCTTCACTTCCTGTCTAGGTCCTTCACTTCCTGCCTAGATCCTTCACTTCCTGCCTAGATCCTTCACTTCCTGTCTAGATCCTTCATTTCCTGTCTAGTACCTTCACTTCCTGTCTAGTTCCTTCACTTCCTGTCTAGATCTTTCACTTCCTATCTAGATCCTTCACTTCTTGTCTAGTACCGTCACTTCCTGCCTAGATCCTTCACTTCCTGCCTAGATCCTTCACTTCCTGCCTAGATCCTTCACTTCCTGTCTAGATCCTTCACTTCCTCCCTAGATCCTTCACTTCCTGTCTAGTACCTTCACTTCCTGCCTAGATCCTTCACTTCCTGCCTAGATCCTTCACTTCCTGCCTAGATCCTTTACTTCCTGTCTAGATCCTTCACTTCCTGTCTAGATCCTTCACTTCCTGTCTAGATCCTTCACTTCCTGTCTAGATCCTTCACTTCCTGTCCAGATACTTTGATCTGACTGACAGGACATAAAACTTATTGTTAACTTTATTTCCTGTGTGACATCTGAGTCGATGTGTTCTTATCAGACGCTGACCTCTGACCCCGGCTTACAGCCATACTGGTCCCTGACCATAGAGACGGGCCAGAAACAGGAAACCTTCAGGAAACAGGAAGAGGCTGAGGAGTTAAACTCTCCTTAGAATAGTCAGCTACATGAACTGGACAGAAACCGGGTCAAACCAGAACCAAGGTCCAAACAACAAACAGGACCCTTAAGGTGGACTGCAGATTCCAGACCACCTTAAGAGACACCAGGAAGGTTTGGATCCCAGGAGGAGCAGAAGATTTTCTCTGAGTGTGTGTGTGTGTGTGTGTGTGTGTGTGTGTGTGGTGTGTGTGTGTATACTCTTGGTCTGATAAGCAGTTAGCCCTACTTTTCTTGGACTCTGCTAATAGGATTCCCTCACCACCCCCTCCTCCCAGCATGCATCATTCAGGGGCTGACACACACACACACACGCATCCCTACGCATGCAACTGTAACCTTACCTGAGTGTCCTCTGTCCTCGCTGCTGCAGTGACGTCTCCTGTGTTGCCGTGGTAACCTCCGTTTCCTGCTTCCTCTCCTCAGTAACCTGGTCTTTCTCGTCCTCTTCGTTCTCCTCTTCCTCTCTGAACACTTGTTGTCTGCAGCAGAGCCGGCTCATCGTGGATTTACAGACTCCTCCTCTTCCTCCAAAACCTGATAGCTCCGCCCACCTTCCCACTAGCCAATGAGCAAGTGAGTTGGCTGCTTCAGCCAATGACTGAGTGGAGGGGGCGGGGCTACAGACCTGATCAGGAAACACAAACACTCTGATCAATGGACTGTGATGTCACTGTGCTGCATTCTGATTGGCTAAGGGTGTCTCACCAGGCAGAACCAATCAGATGCAAGCTGGCACCAATCAACCCAGCCGAGTCCCTGATTGGTCAGAACGAGACGCCACCAACCACACTAGCAGAAAGCAAGCTTACCTGAGATGAGCTGAGGTCAGAGGTCACTGAAGAAAGCTGGAAGTGAAAGCAGATGTCAGGTTGATGACTTCTGGTTTCTGCAGAACATCTGATCCCAGGTTAACGTTCTCATTAGGGTCGCCGGGGTCACCTGGAGCTTCCGGTGGACTCTCTGGTAGCTATGGTGACTCCCTCCTTTTGGGCCCATCGGGGGCTCCTGTGGTTCTGATTGGTTCTTCTGGACGGTAGTTGAGTCATTGCTGTTCAGACGGTTATTCCCTCTGGTCCTGGATGCTTCACTTCACCCAGGTGTTATGACGTGTTACATAGCAACAAGGTGTGTTATATTTTTACATCAGCATCTCAAAAACTGAAATTACATTTGAACTTTGACCCCAGATCCTGAGGACCTTCATGGATGCAGAGAGACAAAGGACGTTAAAAACCATCTCTAACATTTTTCTGTCCCGACAGATTTAAAGAGGAGCAGCAAAAGCAAAGGAGGTGGATCAGCAGAGGAACAGGAAAATGGTTTCTGCTGTCAGAGGCTTTTTCTGATTTGCTGCAGCACTGACTGCTGACATGTTTAACTATTGATGAGGTGAATCTGTGAGAGGAGATCAGGTTTATTGGCCCAGTTTAAAATCAATGACTGATCATTGATTGTTTGCTGTGATGTATTTGTAAACAAACCCAATTCAAACACAAAGATTACGCCATATTGTAGCCATGGTAACAAGGTAATTAAGATGGTTCTTGAAACTTTTACAAAGTAAACGTCCTAATTAAATCATAATAGTTTTTTTTCTCAGCTGAATTCATTAAATAAAATTTAATAACATCGTCAATCTCTATAAATGATGCCACAGCTTTAGATCTATAGTCTGTCTTACAATTAGACCATTAGTAGGGGCCCCCGAATGTCTGGGGGCCCCTGAATGTCTGGGGGCCCCTGAATGTCTGGGGGCTCCCCGAATGTCTGGGGGCCCCTGAATGTCTGGGGGCTCCCCGAATGTCTGGGGGCCCCTAAATTCCTGGGGCCCCCTAAATGTCTGGGGGCCCCTGAATGTCTGGGGGCCCCCCGAATGCCTGGGGGCCCCTGAATGCCTGGGGGCCCCTGAATGCCTGGTGGCCCCCGAATGTCTGGGGCCCCAGAATGTCTGGGGGCCCCTGAATGCCTGGTGGCCCCCGAATGTCTGGGGGCCCCTGAATGTCTGGGGGCCTCTGAATGTCTGGGGGCCCCTGAATGTCTGGGGGCCCCTGAATGTCTGGGGGCCCCTGAATGTCTGGGGGCCCCTGAATGTCTGGGGGCCCCTGAATGTCTGGGGGCCCCTGACGGGCCCCGACCAGCAGCTACTGAGTTCTCCTTGCCTTCATATCCCGTCTTATTATTCTAGATCTTGAGGTTCTAACATAGAAAACATGATATAGAGTTAAACCCTTTGAGCTTTTTGATCTATAAATCATCTGCAGCCAAGTTGTTCTAGAAATTAAATTATTAGGGCTTCATTGGTAAAATTAGTTAATTTGCTTCATTGGCAGCAAATTAATGTATTTCATAACTTCATGACCTTTGACCTTCTCTCCTCTGGCCTGTTTAACAGATACCGTCTCAGATCAGCAGCAGAAACAGAAACTTTATTCCTATGGGGAAAATAGATTTCACATCATGACAGTGATATAGTAAGATCCAATTAGGTGATGGATCAATAGGGTTTGTTCTGTGTTTAAAGATCTTGTTCAATTGGGCCCTTTAAGCCTGGCCCTCCAAAGGTCTCTGCACGGCCCTGACCTCTGGGAAAACAAAGAATTGATCAAATAAATTGAATAAAAGCTGAAACTAAAAACTTTAACAGAAATTTTCCCCAAAAATGAAGTTGAATATTGGACAATTAAAAAAACGACCCAAGAAAAGGTTTAAATAGAAACAAAGAACTGTAGCATGAGAGAGAGCAGCAGGTGAGGAAGAGGAGGAGCAGCCTCAGCTCTTCCTCTGACTGGACCCTGAAACCAGCTGAGCATCATGATCAGAACCAGTCCTATTAAACACTTCCTGTGGTCATCAGCAGTTCGTCTCTGATTGGCTCAGCTCGGACTTCATCTGATTCAAACAGTCTTCTAAAGGTCACTGGACCTCCTGAAAGGTCACTGGACCTCCTGAAAGGTCACTGGACCTCCTGAAAGGTCACTGGACCCCCTGAAAGGTCACTGGACCTCCTGCATCCCAGAACCGGGCGGATGGAGCCGGTCCAGTTCGGCATCTTTCTATAAAAAACATCTGTCTTATTTGTTCAATTATTATTGGAAATACCTTTTTAAAGAAGAAGCTCCTCTTTATGCTCCATTGAACATTCGTTTCTGTCGCTTCTCAGCTTGATTCGGGAGCAAATATCTCCTTTCAAAAACTGGGCTTTTTACTATTTTACAGTAATGTTCGGAGCCGAGCTGCACTCTGTGTGCTGTTTGACATTATTCTGTCTAATGAAAGTGTGTTTTATGATTCGGCTGGCAGTTGAGCTCTGAATGCTGAACTTAAATGCGGACTTTTCCAGGATCTCCTGGTCGCTGCTGGAGGCGCTCAGCAGGATGGATCGTCTCTTCAACAACACCAGGGTTTGGAAAAGTGGAAGCTTTACTTCCAGAAAAAGTTCTTTAGTGCAGTTAAGTCAGCGCCGAATTGTTCCGGAACAACTTTCATACCGACGCAGACTGAACCGGAGTTCTGCCGCAGGTTTAATCCAGTAAACATGGGAATAAACCGAAATCTTGAAGTTTTTTAACCGAGTTCTGCGCAGCGGTGTCTTACCTCCAGCAGCGGACAGAAGCTGGGGCCTCAGCGGCTCTCCGCGGCCGCTGGAAGAGCACAGAAGTCCGATATGGACTCGCCCTGCAGGTCCATGCCCGGTACTGGTGTCGGTACCGTTCAGAGAGGGCAGCTGGGGATGTGACGTAATCTGCGTTGCTCCGCGGGGAGAGAGAGCAGAACCGGGCTGGGAGCGGGAGAACGGCCCGCTGGTTCCGTTCGGCGCACCGCCGGACCTCCGCTTCACGCACCGGAATTTTTATTTGATTTTATTGATATTTTCCCAGGCACTTTAGTTTACCTTCTCCACGGTGACTTCAACTTCCGCATCGTTTGCGTGACGTAACGTAACGTCAGGTTCGACTAACCAATCAGAGAACAGACAAAACGTTTTTTTTTTTTTTTTTTTTAACACAATTGAATTTGTGTTTTAAAAACATTTGATTGTTTTCAGGAAGGAGCTCAGAAATGATTGAAAATGAACATGTTAATACTTCATATTTAACCTAAATCCGCCTATAACAGTGATCCTGGTGACCTTTTTCCTGATCCTGACCCTGACCCTATCCCTGACCTGACCTGACGTGACCCTCCTGCTGAACAGTGAAAGGAGCCCAGCTTCAGAAAGCTGCAGTTCCTGCCACGCGCCAGCAGGGGGCGCTCATTCCCCACCTTCAGGATCTGTCCGGTTTTACATAGAAGATCTTCAACACAAAGATTAATATCAGATTACAATGATCAAAGGAAACATATTGGTGTTAAGATGCTGCGATCTACAAAGTAAAATAAAGCAAACTTCATACATACTGTAAATGAGTAAAGTAAAAACTAATGAATGCCTTTTAAAATAAACAAACTACCATTTTGTTAACCTGCAAAAATATATTGAAATATGTATAGTAAAGGGCCTGTTACAGCAAAAAGTAAAAATATAACAGGATCTGCTTATGAGATAAAGTTAGATCTCTGAAGAGTTTCTGATCATTACAATGAAGAGGCAGTGTATGTTTTTGTCAGATTCTTTGAAATTAATAAATGAGGATTTTTTCCCTCCATTTCATCTTGTGGACATCATATTTTATTAGAATTATAAAGTAGATGTATTCTACATTTACTTTGAAGAAAAGCCTGAATTGTTGAGACAAAATGAAACTTTTTGTTGTTTTGCGTTGAAGAGCAGACGTTTCTGGGTTTTTCTGATCTCGCCTGTCGCCGGTTCTGGTTCTGGGAGAAAAGGATCCGAATGGGACCGAAGAGACGCTGCAGACAATCCTTCAAGCTTCACCTCTTCCTCTTCTCTCTTGATCTCTGAGAATAAATGATTTTCCATTTACTCCAATTTCTAAATAAAATGTTCAAAATTTCTCAGTCTCAGTGTTTCACTATTGGCTCATAAGAAATTTATTTTACAATTAAAAACAAGAAATATTTTATCAAAATTGAAAATATTTTTGTTTTTTATAGTAAAAAATTTTTCTTTCCAAATTTTTCTTTCAGGAATTTTGGCAGATTGGAACCAAACGTCTCCGTCTGGTTTCATCATCAGAACCTCGGCCAACTCTTCCTGCTGCTCTGGTGATGTCACCGTTTACCTGAGCTGGGGTCACCATGAGGTCACCAGGAGGTCACCTGGGGGTCACCGGGTCACCGCAGCACGTCTTTCCAGCCACAGAACCCCAGTGCTGTGAATCTGATTTGCCTGAACTCTGACCCCTGGGTCGGCACCGGTGTGCCTGGTTCTGGTCGGACCCGGCTGGATCGCAGTGAGGCATCCTGGAAATGTTTCAGATCCTTCACGTTTTCCTGAGCCGATCTCAGGACCTCCAGTTTCATCTGCCGACCCTTTGAGGCCCCGGACCACGTGTTGGACACCATGCTATACATATATGAAAGCTTTAAACTCTGAGATGATTCATTTCCGGTTCAGCAGCAGCTTTGATTGTTTTCAGGTTCTCTATGAAGCAAATCATCGATGAGATGAAAATCAATTTCATCTCGTCCTGCTGATGTCAGACGCGTACGGACCGGTGACGTCACCAGTTGAATGAGCGACCCGCCGCGGCTCACCTGCAGGCCCCGCCCCGAGGCTTTATAATGCGGCCAGGTGAGGCGCAGACCGCAGGAGCTCCAGGATTTGGTGACGATGCTGCAGATGAACGAGTCGGAGCTCCAGCTGCGGCTGGCGGCCTTCAGCTTCGAGACGCGCTTCGATGAGCGAGGAGCGATCCAGTGGATGCAGGAGAACTGGTGAGAGCTGCTCTTCTTCTTCTCTGGGGTCACCCAGCGGGGTCAGAGGGTCGGGAGAAAGAACGTCTAAATTAAAGTTCCGGACTCCATTAAGAATCTCCACTACTTTAAATAATACCGATTTAAATTTAGAACACTACAACCATCTGAAATGATTCGGGTGATTTAACTACTGACCCAGTCCAGACTTTGTTTCGGCTGACCCAGTCGGAACCGAGAGGTCCGTATTAAGGCGCAGTTTCACCGAAAGCGGTTTGTTTCAATGGAAACTATTCCAGTGAATCAGTTGCTACAGCAACACAGTCAGTCTCCTCTCATGTGTTTTCTGAGGGCGCTGTGGGCCTTTACGGGTCCATTCCTCAAGCCGAATGGAGGAAGTGACGTCACTATTTCAGATGAAGATGAAATATAGTTTAGAAATTGAGGTTGAGAACTGAACGGCCTAAAATCTGAAAATGTCCCGATGTATGAATGAGTTTCGGTGCTGGACTGAGTCAGCCTGAGGCGTGCTGTCATTGGAAGGCGGCGGCCGTTACGTCACAGACCCGGAATGTAGTGATTGGTGGATCCGGTCGGACCGGTTCCTGTCCTGATGAAACCTGGACGGAATATGCTGGAATGTCCGCCCCGCCGGAAGTACATCAAAACATGTTTACAATGTTAGCTACCCTGACGTCACAGTTTGTGGAGAAGTCACGTGATGATATTTAATAGGATTTTCTTAATGGACAGAACCACCAGGACTTGGTTCTGGTCAAAGGGGGTTGTGTTTCAGAACCTGGAAGGTTTTTCACGATGTTCTGATGGGTCTCAGCGGGTCTTCTGGTTCTGATGGTTCTGATGGTTCTTCTGTCCCGCAGGAACAAGTCGTTCATGTTCAGCGCGCTGTACGCCGCCCTGGTGTTCGGAGGTCAGCACTTCATGAAGCCTCGGCCCAAACTGAACCTGCGGCTGCCGCTGGTCCTCTGGTCGCTGAGCCTGGCCCTGTTCAGGTAAGAACACCTGGAACCTGCAGCAGGTGATGCAGCAGCAGCTCCATCTGGCCAGAGTCCATCCAGAACCAGTAGAAACCAGGCGGAACGCCGCCTCTGTCCGACCACGCCCGTCTCCACCCGGATTCCTGGATGGGCGAGTGACTGCTGCTGATTCATTGCCATGGCAACAGGCCCACACCTGCAGCTCAGGTGCGAGTGGAGGTGTCGGTTCGGCTCGGCTGGTTCAGGACAAACCGACCCGTGACCCGCCTCATCACATTAATATCAACCAGAGGTCGTGGTTCGGATTCCCGCTGGGCGGGTCGGATGTCGGACCGGTTCTGAGATCAGATGATGTCATCAGGATCAGCTGTGTGGCTTCCTGTCCTGATGGCTCTGCTTCCCGTTCTGTCCTCAGCATCATCGGAGCGGTCCGGACCGGGTTCTATGCTGCACATCCTGAGCGCCAGCGGCTTCCGACGCTCCATCTGCGACCAGAGCTTCTACAACGGACCCGTCAGCAAGTTCTGGGCCTACGCCTTCGTCCTCAGCAAGGCTCCAGAACTCGGTCAGTTGATCCTCAGTCTGAACGTAAACGGACCAGAACATCAGGGTTCAGTTCTATGAGTGGACCGGCTCGGTTTGGGCCACATTAAAATGTTCTGGAAGATGAAAGTGAAGGTTAACCGGGTCCAAAGCTGCATTAATTCTGACCATGTGACCAACATGTAGCCACACCTTCTCCAACACTGGAGTCAACTTTTAGCTTAGCGCTCTGGCTAACTATGAACGTTTAGCGCAGTTAAACGTTCATAAACTTATTTTCCCAGATAAATCCTAAAGAGCTAATTTTCTTGACTGTTAAACTTTTAATTAAGAAAACATCAGTTCAGATTTTTATTGTCTGTATTGTAGAAAAATCTACTCATTCAAGTAGATATTTATTTTATGCTCTTATTTTGAAGGGGTGAAGACAGTTTGCAGTTCATACCTTAGTGCTTTAGCATTAGATTAGCTTCCACTAGCTAACATATTGGAGCAGCATTAGCAGAAGTGATGTCTGATTAGCGGTTTTGGGTTAGCGCAGCGCTAAGCGCCATTAAAGTCATTAATGTCTTTTTGTTTTCCGTCTCCAAGGCGACACGGCGTTCGTGGTGCTCAGGAAGCAGAAGCTGCTCTTCCTCCACTGGTACCACCACATCACGGTGCTGCTCTACTCCTGGTACTCCTACAAAGACATGGTGGCCGGCGGCGGCTGGTTCATGACCATGAACTACACCGTGCACGCGCTCATGTACAGCTACTACGCCGCGCGCGCCGCCGGCTTCCGCGTGCCCCGCCCCTTCGCTGTGGTCATCACCAGTGCCCAGATCGCCCAGATGGCGATGGGCCTGACGGTGAGCGGCCTGGTGTACCGCTGGATGCAGCAGGGCGACTGTCCGTCCCGCTTGGACAACATCACCTGGGCCTCCATCATGTACCTCAGCTACCTGCTGCTCTTCTGCAACTTCTTCTACCAGAACTACCTGCGGCGCGAAGCCAAGGACAAGACCCAGTAGGACAAGACCCAGTAGGACAAGACCCAGTAGGACCCAGTAGGACAGGACCCAGTAGGACCCAGTAGGACAGGACCCAGTAGGACAGGACCCAGTAGGACAGGACCCAGTAGGACAAGACCCAGTAGGACAGGACCCAGTAGGACAAGACCCAGTAGGACCCAGTAGGACAGGACCCAGTAGGACAAGACCCAGTAGGACAGGACCCAGTAGGACAGGACCCAGTAGGACAAGACCCAGTAGGACAAGACCCAGTAGGACAGGACCCAGTAGGACAGGACCCAGTAGGACAAGACCCAGTAGGACAGGACCCAGTAGGACAGGACCCAGTAGGACAACCCAGTAGGACAAGACCCAGTAGGACCCAGTAGGACAGGACCCAGTAGGACAGGACCCAGTAGTAGGACAGGACCCAGTAGGACAAGACCCAGTAGGACAGGACCCAGTAGGACAGGACCCAGTAGGACAGGACCCAGTAGGACAAGACCCAGTAGGACAGGACCCAGTAGGACAAGACCCAGTAGGACAGGACCCAGTAGGACAAGACCCAGTAGGACCCAGTAGGACAGGACCCAGTAGGACAGGACCCAGTAGGACAAGACCCAGTAGGACAGGACCCAGTAGGACAGGACCCAGTAGGACAGGACCCAGTAGGACAAGACCCAGTAGGACAGGACCCAGTAGGACAGGACCCAGTAGGACCCAGTAGGACAGGACCCAGTAGGACAAGACCCAGTAGGACAGGACCCAGTAGGACAGGACCCAGTAGGACAGGACCCCAGTAGGACAAGACCCAGTAGGACAGGACCCAGTAGGACAGGACCCAGTAGGACAAGACCCAGTAGGACAGGACCCAGTAGGACAGGACCCAGGACAGGACCAGTAGGACTGGAGCAGAACATGCAGTTTATTTATGTCTGGGAATGAAGGAGCGTTTCTGGACCTGCTGGTTCCTGCCTGCAGGTCCAAACATGGTTCCGATCTAAAGAGACATGAAGCTCAGCTGAACAGACATTGGAAAATATTCATGTTATTTTGACTAAATTTATCAGCTTGGGACACAGAAAATGTTCTGAACCATTTTTACCTTCAGCCTGATTTCCAAAATATTTCAAACATGTAAAAATATAATCGGAACCATTGGAACCCGTCTGGTCCGATTCACTGGTTCTGGCTGAACCCAGGTTGGCTGGAGAAAGTAAACCGGGTCAGAACTGGAACTTAAACTTTTAATCTGTAAATATTTCCATCAGTTTGTCTATAAAATGTCAAACTTCTGATTCAGGAACCGATCCAAAAGAACCGGTTCAGATCCAGCTCCTGGTTTTAAGGCGGTATGAAGGCAGCTGATTGGCTGCTGGAAGGTCACATGTCTCATGGGACTAAACTCCTGTTGGGACCTCGCGTTTTGGAGCTGGTTCTGGTCGGTGTGATTGTGGAAACGGGTCGGAGTTCTGAAGGAAACCAGCAGCTGACGTCACAGCTGGTTTCCATGACGAAAATGATCACCTGGACGATTTCCTGGGAGGGAAGTTGGGATATTTATGTTTATTTATTGTGTAAAAATGTAATAAAATGTCTTTTTCCATTTGTGCATTTTGGGTTTTTTCTAGTTCGGTTTTTCGGCATCAAACAGAATCTGAGATCATTTGAAATATTTTCAGGATCTGGAGCTGATAAACCTGATCAATACAGATTATTTACTGCAGCTGCTGGTTTAAATCTGGAATAATGAACATCAACAGAACCAACTCAGGAGAAAACCAGAACTCAGTCAATTACATCCTCACTTCCACCACAAGGAATCAGTAAGTCAGGTTTATATGGAGCCGGGATCTGGTCCGGGTCCGGAGCCGGGATCTGGTCCGGGTCCGGAGCCGGGATCTGGTCCGGGTCCGGAGCCGGGATCTGGTCCGGGTCCGGAGCCGGACCAGATTAACTGTTTTGCCCTTCCAGGGCAAAACAGTTAACTGTTTTTAACGTCGAAGTATCATCAGTTATTTGCTTTGAACACATTTGCTAGTTGTAATTTGCCGCGCTATTCGGCATGTTTGAACTTAACTGCTCTGTTAGTTAGTGAACGTTTATTTTGAGTGTGTACTTTTTATTTGACCTAAAGAACTTAAATAGCTGGAAGCCGGGTATGTAGTGAAAAACATGAAATGTGATTTAGACTGGAGACGTTCAGGGCTGGTGCTGGTGGACCGAGAACTGCTGGCGTTTCCGGTCGGAAGCTAGACTGGGTCAAAGTGTGGGAGCAGCTAATGCACTGCAGTGGTGGCCAGATTTATAACAAGAACTACTGGACAGGTTGATTTTTATGGGTAATCTTAACGTACAGTTACGGAGGTGTTAGTGTTATACGCAAAACTAATTTAATGTGACGCAACTGCGCTCTGCTTGTCACTTGTCACCGTGAGCTGCGGTCAGGGAAGCCATTTGTTCCAATTGTCAGCCTGCTTACTGACGACATGATATAAAACGCATAATATCCTGACTGCGCTAATAATCCATAAGATGTCATTTTTCTTAAAAAAGCAAAAAACAAAATAAGCAATTCATGTTTGTAGGAACTTTGAGTTAATTTCTCTTTCCCACTCTCCAGGCCTGGAGCCAAGCATCATCAGACCATAGAAGGTAAGCCATATTTGCTTCACTAAGCTTCTAATTTAGAAAAAAAAGTTAAGTTATTAGTTAATATGCTGTATTGTATCAATAATATGAAAAACATATACTCTAAACTAATTCAAAAATAGTTTCGATAAATAACATCATTTTAAAGTAAAAGGAATAATAGGTGGTCAAAGAACGAGATGAAATTAATTTCCTCCAAAGGGTTGATGAGCTCTCACTCAACATGGGGTCAGAAGCTCAGTCATCTCGGAGAGGCTGAGATTAGAGCTGTTGCTCCTCTACATCCAGTGGAGCCATTTGAGGCGGCTCGCGCATCTGATTAAGATGCCTCCTGGAAGCCTCCCTGGTGATGTTTTCTGGGCACGGCCTGCCAGGAGGAGGCCATTGTAGTGGGACTATGTCACTCAGCTGGGCTGCAAAGTCTTTAGGATTCCAAAAGGTAGGGAGGTGGCTGGGGAGAGGGAAGCTGCCCTTGCAACCCCACTTTTGATTAAGCTGTTAAGAATTAATTATAGTTAAACAACTTTTTGTTTCCACCAATATCTAACATTATTTTAATTTCTAACACTTAAGAGTGGACAGACATAAAATAGAAAGGCAATGTCATTTTTTGTCCCTCATAGGGAAAATTACATTGCAACAGCAGAAAGTGACAGGCAATTTGTTTACACAAACATACATATACCAATGTGTGTTTTTAAATATGCACACACAGAGAATTAAGAGAAACATACTGTACAACCAGGGCAAAATTACAACCTAAAAATACTTTGTAGACTTTAAAGTTTAATCCCATCCTAAGAAATATGCAATTGAGAAGGACTTTAAGAGATGTGCAATTTTGCCTAAAATATTTGCAATACTAACAATATGACATTTATTAATATAGAGATGTTTTTCTAGGATATTAAAAACATACTGTAATAATTATGGTTAAAAATGCATTCAGAATCTATATTTTACCAAACAGATCTCAAGTATTGCATGGGGGTAAGATTGTAACAGTACTCAAAATTGACTCTGCATCCATATTTTTGTTTAATCTTCCTTGCCTTCAGATTTGGCAACATACATGTAACACAGTTCCTCTCTTATCCTTCTAGTGTTTCACTTCATGTGGAGATGCAAAGACTGCGAGAGCTCGTTTTCCAGAAGATCTGAATTGCTCAAGCACTACAAACTAACCACAGGCATTATGGACGGGGCTATTCATATCCATGCACATATTTAAGTTGCGCATGTAGATTCAAGACCTGGAATGCTTTACTGAACCATTTATCAAGACATCATCCAGTCCACCAAACAGTTAACAATGACTTAACCACATTCAAATGCCCCATTTGTGATTCTAATCAACTTTCCACGGAGAGAGATTTTTTTCAGCATATATTTCAACATCTCAAGAATAAGGAAACAGTCACATGTGTGTTTCAGGACTGTGTTTATCAAACAAATAATTACGAGACTACAAAAGTCATAAATACAGAAAACATTCTGATGCTAACAATACATTGAAGACTGGGATTACTGAAAAAAAACAATTAGACTGTGGTGAAGAATTGTGTGCTAGTTTTGGCACTGACATTTTTGATCAGGACAGTACTGTACAAGCTAATCCAAATCCCACATTTAACAGGAATGATTCTGAAAACTTAGAGAGAGATATTGAACTTAAACTTGCATCAGTTCTTCTAAAGTTAGAAAGCACTTATCTTGTTTCAAATGCAGCTATTGATGATCTATTGCAGGAGTTAAACTATTTAATTGGTTCTTTGTCCCTGCCTGTTACATGTAGAACTATAACCCAAATACTACACAATCATCTTTGCCAGTTTGACCCATCAGTTGTTGAAAACCTTGCCAAGGCCCTCTGTGAAACAAACCCTGTAAAAAAAGCAATAGGAGAGAAAGGCTCCCTTTCTAGTGCTTGGAGACGAAAAAAATTCTATAAAGACATTTTAAAGTGGTAGAACCTGAAGAATATATTCTTGATAAAAAAAATAGAAAGTCATTCCAATATGTATCAATCCTAAAGTCTTTGCAGCAAGTTCTGGATTGTGAGGTTATCTTGGATCAGACTGATAACTTAAATAGTCTTAATAAAGTACCACAAAGGAGTGTTCATGCATATAGGTCTTTCTACGATGGGTCATTTTTCAGTGAAAACGAGCTTTTGAGTAAGGAGGAGAGCATTTCATTAGTATTATATATAGACGATTTCGAAATATGCAACCCTCTCGGGACATCTAAACGAAAACATAAAATTTGTGGTTTATACTGGATTCTTGGAAATTTACCACAGGGGTGTAATTCAAACTTGTCTTCCATTTACCTGGCTGCTTTAATCAAACAAATGATTTGAAGTGCTATGGTTACGAGAAAGTTTTAGAACCTTTACTTAATGAGCTTGTGATTTTGGAACAAAAAGGGGTCTTTGTCTCAAAGTTGGGGAGAGCTGTAAAAGGCACAGTTCAGTGCGTGGTTGCAGATAATCTTGCTGCCACAGTATTGGTGGCTTTGTAGAAAACTTCACAGGGTCATACATATGTAGGTTTTGTCTTGCAGTTAAAACAGACATTCAAACTACAGAGGTTAAAACTGGTGCATTTACCTTGAGAACCAAAAGCATTCATGCAGATTGCTTAAAAAGTATCGAGGAACATGAATTGCCAAGTTATCGGGGTGTGAAATCAGCTTCCATTTTATCGCATTTGTTGTATTTTGACATTACCACAGGTCTTCCTCCAGACATTGTACATGACCTGTTTGAAGGAGTTGTTCCTTTTGAACTAGCTTTGTGTCTGGGTGTTTTGATTAAGAAAAAGTATTTCACTTTGGCATCACTGAATGACGCAATAGCGTCTTTCAACTTTAAGGGTACTGATAGAACTAATCGACCTCAACAAATTTCCCTCCATTTTGAAGCCAAAAAAAGTGTTGGGGGTAATGCACATGAGAATTGGAGTTTGCTCAGATTCTTACCTTTGTTGATTGGACACAGAGTGCAATATGAGGAGCCAGCTTGGCATATCTTAACAGACTTAAGAGACATTGTTGATCTTGTTGTCTGTCCCATGCACACAGAGGACTCTATTGCCTACCTTGACTTTAAGATCTCAGAACACAGAGCACAATTCCAGGAGGTTTTTCCTAATTGGGACCTTAAACCAAAACACCATTTCTTGGAACATTACCCACAGTTGATTCGCCAGTTTGGTCTTTTAGTAGCCTTATGGTCCATGCGCTTTGAAGCTAAGCATAGTTTTTTTTAAAAGAGTTGCAAGAAATATCAAGTGCTTTAAAAATGTCCTCTGTACTCTTGCAGACAGACACCAGTATCAGATGGCACATCATTTGCATTTATGTGGTTTTACAAAACCTCATTTGGAAGTTACAAATGTTTTCACAGTAACAACTGATGTTCTTGATAAGGGAATCGTAAATGCTCTCAAACAGATGTTTTCAAATCTGGCCACAGTATGCATGACTAAAAGTGCAACATTTAATGGACTGAAGTATAGATGCGGGATGATCTTGATCCATGGCTCATTGGGAGGATTACCAGAGTTCATTGAAATCATCCAAATGGTGATCCTGGCAAACCAGCTATTCTTTCTGGTCAGAAAACTTGAGGGGTGGTATCTTGAGCATTACAGATCTTACAATCTCAAAACATCGTCAGACAAAGAACTGAAACTTGTTGAGCTACAAGACCTAACGGATGTGTACCCGCTGGTAGACTACAAAATTTGAGGAATGCGTCTTGTGACAGTGAAAAGATATGTCCACGTTTTTATGGTAATATAAGATTGTACAAAAAATGTAATGCATGTTAGATTTTATTTTTCCTTTATGGCTGAAACTACCTTTTATTTTGTCTTCCCCTCTATAAGCAAATGTCCTAACATTCAACTAATATATGTCATATATTGTGAAGAATTTGAATAGCGGCCTTCATTACTTAACTGTCTTTATGCCCTTTTTTCAGATTGCCATGGCAAGTTCAAAACCTGCAAGACTGAAGGTGATTCTAGGAGAGAGCAACACTGAAAAACTGACTCTTCCAAATGGCATACCAGATTCTCTGGATGATCTTCTCAGCAAGGTGAAGGATACCTTGGTTTAAAGACCAACATCAGACTGCAATATATGGACAAAGACTTTGGTAATGACTTCTTCAACCTCAGCTCAACTTCTGACCTTGAGGACTTGGGAACAGTCAAGGTGATTCAAGAAGAAGCAGTTCAACCTTTTGTTGATGTCATTGAAACAGCTCCATCTTCTTCTGCAGTTCACTCAGATGACAGCAGTTCTTTAGCTTCAAATGACACTATACTCCTCTCCTCCCTGAATCCTTCTCATCGCGAACAAAACAATGGCCAGCCAACTTTCCCATTCTCATGTTTTCGTATGACACTGAACGTCAGCTACAGAAGGGAATTCTGAGTATCAGGCAAAAAACAAAATATTGACAGTCACCCCACGAATGAAGACTGACATCCTAAATAGATTAGTAGAAGAGATCTACAGATACAGAGCCAATCCAGAGGACGCACAGTTCTGTGTAGTTGCAGAGGCCTTGATTAAAAAACATCCATGTTTAAAAGAGCCTGGTTCATTCAATGGTTGCTACGGTTGGAAACAAAGGCTGAAGTACAAAATGGGAAACTACAGGACTCTACTCAAGTTTCAGGGATGTCCAGAATTGTCTGTTAACGCACTTAAATCCAAAGCCAGTACTTCAGTGTTTCCCGCTGCAAAAATAAAGAAGCCAAGACGAGCTGAAGCCAACTTCTATCCTTCCTTTCCAGTGGGAGAAACACAAGAAAGTATGGAAAAAGAGAGAATTGAACTCTTGACAGCAATCAAAAGGAGGAACAATGACAAGGTCATTGCGGAGAAAATGGCTCATACCTTTGCCTACAGGCGTCAGGAGGTGGTGAATGAAGAACCTGGCATAGAGGATTTCAAGGACAGATGGCCTGCCCTGTTCCAACAGAAAGAGGTAGTAATGCAGATTGAGGATTTTTACTTAGATTTTGGAATGATTGGTCAGTATTTACTTTAAGTCATTTTGTAAGATACAAAATAAGTTTTATTTTGTTTCTCAGATTAATGCGGAGTTCCTGAGACTCATGGCTCTTCCCCTTGAGCAGACTTTCTTTGCCCAGTTGGACAGGCTCTCAAGTCAGCTGATTAAAGTCATCAAAGCCAAGGGAGGAGCAACACGTGCAAAAATAGCTGGAATCATGAGAATCTATGATGAGGTATGGATATCATCGATAGGAACACTGGGGACATTTACCATTTTTAATTTAAAACAAAGAAGTTAAAGTCTCTAATTACTTTCAGACTTTTTGTTTTAATTATTAATACTTGATACATTTGTGCAAAGGTGATATCACTCAAAGAAAAGCAAGTTTAACTGTCTTATGTATTTTTAGTGGATTTAGTTAGTCTGTATTGTGGTTCATTCATGAATTTCATAAAATACACCTTTCTGTCCAACTTGCCAGAATTAGTGCTATTTAGTACATTTTTTGAGCTCATTTTAAAATTTTAATTTTTTAAATGGTAGACTTATATCAATTTTATGCTGCAAGATAAAATACAAACAACAAATGATATTCATTAGTCCTAGTAGATTGTGCTAACAAAAAGCCTTAACCTCAACAATATAGTCTAGTTTCACAAATTGAGACTTGAAGCATAAATTTGGCAGAGGTGGAATTTGCATAATTTTGAAGAGCATTATTAACCCGGTGGACATGTGGGCTGCACATTATGGTATTTGAATATATTACTGTTACATCAGAAATCTTGTCAGAGATATGGAATATTGATAACAATACATTTTCTCCAGGTGGAGGACATTGGGATTCGAAGGGAATGTGTTCTGAAAGGGCTCATCACCTTTCTTGGAGAGGATCCAGAAGACCTTATTAAGGAATACAGTGTAAGTTTCTTTTAAAGGTTTGAAGCCGCATCTTAACCCATTCAGGAAAATTGAAAAATTCAATGTCAGTTGCTTGTACCTTTTTAAATTATTTCTGGCCTGCATTTTCTATATTTAAACATCTGTTTTAATACATCAGGCAGATTTGGTGTCAGAATTGTAAATTTAACATGGTTATGTCCTGCTTAAATCCAACAGTGGTGTGCTTTGCTATTCAGCAAAGACCATTATCTAACTTCACTATCAACTTCATTTCCTGTTCACCAATATAACAAACAAGTTAATAAGAATGTTTTAGTCATGCTATTTTCATACCAGCTCCAAAATATCTGATAAGTAACAGAAATATGCATTTTGTGTTGATTTCCAACCTAAGATGACCATTGGCTTGGACTACTATTCTGCTTTGATGTATAATCTATGAATTTGTTTAAGCTAAAACCTGCAATATGACAAAACACATATAAAGTTACATCCTTGTATTATCTTTTCTAAAAACCTTAAAAATCACCCTTTGAGTTATTCAATTTTTAATGCAACTTTGAACTTGGAAAATTTATCAAGGATATTTCAGATGCCATAAACGATTCTCTTCAATTCACAAGCTGTACACTTGTACTTAATGCTTGCATTTATAAGGCTTTTATTTGTCAACTGACAGATTAGTTACAGTCTTCAAGTTTAACATATGGTTTATCTCACTACAGGGCAGCTGTGGAGATGATGCCCAGATGGATCTCAAACAACTCACCCTGGCAATGTTTGTGATTCGGAAGAAGGGAGAGGGATTGGAAGAATCCCCAGAAGACATTGTCATTGAGGGAGTGGAGGTGTTTGCATGACCTGACTTCAGTTGCCTCAGCATGTGCCCTGCTTCTGGGTTTGATATATGCCCTTAACCTGGCTTATCCGAAGCCTCTGCGCTTCACATTTGAAGTGTTTCAAAAAGTCTTCATGCAACTTGACCAACACAAAATGTCTCCTAAAGTTCAGAATTTGTTTGGAAGACTTCAGACCTCTCAGTAAAGACAATTGTATGTTGTGCAAAATGACAGATTATTTTCTGTCTTTGTTTGAACATGAGGGGGCTGTGTTTGGAAGCTTAACCTCAAGGGACTGAACTTTTTGAATTTCTTTTGGGACATTGTGCATATTAAAGCCACAGCATTAGTAGGCTGCTGCAGTATTGTTCACAGACACTTTCACAGTGTTTTTTTCATATTTTTTTTTCAATTTGGATTAAGCAGTGCTTAATGTTTACTATTCTGTTCTGATGTCAGTTAACTTAAGTATCGGAGATGGTTTAAATGCTGCAAGCCATGACCCCACAACCTTGTTTGAAAGCATGTAGATGTTATTGCTTGTTTTCAGTTTGTTCTTGAAGATGTTAAAAACAGACACATGTTCTTACATTTTATGTAAAAACAGTTTAGGGATTGAGAATGTTGATTTCCTTTATTTCAGGAGGACTTGTGGTAAATCTGAAAACATTGTTTTTCAGAGGAATACATCTGGATTCTACAAGCTCACACAGGGATGTCCAAAGTTTGTCCTGGAGAGCCATCAATGTGCAAATGTCAGATGGACTATTTCAATACCACCTTGCTGAATTTACACACCAGCAGACACTCAGCTGAGCAGAGGCATAGTAATGAGCACTTAATTTTATTTGGAGATTGGATTCATCTGAAAGTTGGAGGATGGTAGCTCTCCAGAACTGGACTTGGGGTACCCCATGTTCAGTTTACTAAAAAGCTAACTCAATTAAGCAGACAAGCAAAAGATCTGTGTAGTATGTTCAGTGCAAAATGTGTTGTGAAAAATCTGTAAGTTTGTGATTTCACAATAAAATTTAACATTTTCTATTTGTGCAGTGTAGATTTGTTATAACCAAGTTGAATTTTTGGGTAGTGTAAAGGAATTTTACTGCTATTGTAAAAGCTAAAACATACTTTAAAAGTGATTTATATTTAAGCATTATTGTAAGTACAAAATATGCATAAACGACTTTGGGTAGTTTCATTTTTTAACTTAGAACAACTTACATTTTTGAGTTGACTTTCTATAAATTTAAGTAAGATGGATTTAACATTTGTATATGAAATAAAGTAAATAAATTGCGTTAGACTGACCTAAATTTATCAAGTTAAAAAAAAAAAATTATGTTGATCCAACTTAATTGAATTACTTGTTACCTACAGAAGTAATTCAATTAAGTTGGATCAACTTTTTTCTTTTTAGAGTGTGGAAGCTGCTTCATCGCCTCTGTGTCTTCTGGTTCTTTCTGATTCTGGAACCGATCCAAAAGAACCGGTTCAGATCCAGCTCCTGGTTTTTAAGGAGGTATGATTCTTCATTTGGAAGAATCACTATTTCCATCTGCAGTGGAAGAAAAGAAGAAACTGGTCATAAAAGACAGATCATCAGTTCAGCAGCTGTCCTCCAGGGGGCAGTAGAGACATCAGAGAAATTCATCATTTCATTTTTATACTAACTCCCAGCATGACTGACTCTTTCAGGTTTATCAGAAATCTCTGGGACTTTTAGTTTGTTGTTAAATCCAAATGAATTTACTTTTATTTCACCACTAACTGAAAAGTAGAACTTGTAATTTACTTGAGAGTTTCCAGTCTAAAGTCTGAACTGGCTGCCAGGTCACACAGCTGCTCCACATCTGGATCCGTCAGCCTGTTGTCAACCAGGTCCAGTTCTGCCAGATGGGACGGGTTGGACCCCAGAGCCGAAACCAAAGACAAACAGCTGAACCCAGTCAGGCTGCAATTCCTGAGTCTGAATAAAAAAATCATTCAATGCCTTTAAAATCACTTTATGTGTAAATACAGTAAAATAATAACTACTGACATTAAACCGTTGAGTTGATGTTGTTTTTGTTCTGTTGGGTTATATTGTGTTTTATTCTGCTTTTTTATTATAAAATTGTGTGATATTGTTCATGAGTTTAAATCCTGTTGGTTTGTTCCCACCAACACCAGTTAAACTCAATCAGTTACAAGGTTCATCAACAACATAAAGGTCAGATTTTATTTTCCTGGTATAAGGTATTAAACATGATATCATTATAGCAATTCAATTATTTATCAGTTCCCCATAATAAAGACACTGATGGTGCTTTTACTTTGAAAGTACATTTTTGGTTTCAGAGTTCACTTTTTAAAATCACCATGAATAAAAATACAGCAGAGAAATTTCATTAATATTAACAATAATCTTTTTTTAACCATTTATCAGGTTAATTTGTGAGATATTTTGTAGTTTTCAAGACTTCAACTTTATTCCACAATGTCGATAAAAGTCACATCTAAGATAAAATGATTGATTCTAACATGTGGTTTTTCTGCTGCACGTTAATAATATCATTTCTATGATATGCCGCCTGAAGGAAACGGTGTGCAGACTCTCTGTCCAGGTTCAGATGAACGTGTCTCACCTCAGTGTTTGGAGCTTGCAGTCAGGACTCTGCAGAAAGCCACACAGCTGCTCCACGCCTGCATCCTGCAGCCTGTTGCTGCTCAGATCCAGATGTTTCATGGAGGAGGGGTTGGACTTCAGAGCTGAGGCCAGATGTGCTCCACTGCTGGCTGATAAACTGCAGTTTATCAGCCTAAATAAATCAGAAAACACAAAGTACATAGTCACCCACACTTTTACATCTCAAATCAACAGATGACGTCTTATGTGATCTGTTTCTTTATGACCAATGTAATTCAAATAAAATATAAAGACTCCATGTCATCTTCTATCCACATCGATAGAAACCATTTTCTTGACAAAATATGTCCAGCAGTGATCACATGATGTCTTAGTAAAATGGTGCACTTTGACCCCAGATGTCTGATCATTGTTTTCTGATGGGGACTAGAAAAGCAGAGAGACACGAGCCCTTCATTAAAACTTCACCTGAAACTGTTTACAGTCAGACCTGGTCAGACTGACAAAATATTAGAACTCTGTAGAAAACACAAAGTATGACATGGAGTTAAAACCACAATAAGAGTGAAAGCACGACCCCTTGTGGCAAATCTGTGGAAGAGCACATGCCCACTCAGACAATATTGGTGAGACACAAAAGGGGAAACAGAAAAATATTGTCCCTAAATGTTCTGTAATTGTTTAAGGAACTTTAACCAACAAAGACCTGTAGCTTATGCTGCACATTCTCCTGCCAGTTGCAAGGAAAAGTGGAGGAAATGATCTCTGCTGACTAAAACAGAACAGACACACAGATAGAAACAAGTTAATGAAGCAGCTCACCGCAAACCTCAAGATGGACTCCAGTGATTGAATCCTTAAATGTTTAATTCTGTGAAAAATACCCTGTCAAGAATTATTTGTTTGTATCCATGTTTGTTCAATGATTTTTAATCAAAGTAAAAACAAAATTTGACTCTTGATTGGGATTGAAGGCACTGAATGTGACTGATTTTGCTACAACTGTTTGTAATAACCTGATGGTAAATGTAAATTCAGAAGAATGATCAATAATATTCTTGATTTAGATTTTAAAAACTAAGTTAAACATTCCAACATGTTAATATACACAGAACCTAAAAGCAGCAACATAGACATGAATCTATTACCTCAGACTCTGGAGTCTGCAGTTTGGACTCTGGAGTCCTGCGAACAGAAGCTTCAGTCCTGACTGGGGCAAGCAGCCATAGCTCAGGTCAAGCTCCTCAAGATGGGAGGGGTTGGACTTCAGAGCTGAAGCCACAACTTCACAGTGAGTGTGAGACAGGCCACAGAACGTCAGTCTGCAGGGAGACATGCATGAACCGCACCGGATCACTGCTTCATTCTCCAGTTCACTTCAACTCTGACGTCTGTTTTAGAAGGTGCTCAAGGTTTCTGATAGTCAAGAATCCTCTGCAGAAATTAGTTTCTGGTCATTTCTGTTGTCTAAGCAACAATTTTCAAAACGTTTTTTGAGTTTTCCAATTAAACATGACATTTTTTCTAAATAGCAGCTGAAAAGCCAGACACATGAAGACCAGCCCATGCTTCCTGGGGAAGTTCTGATCGTACTTGGTTGCACTAACAGTTTGTTCTTATTTGACTCATTATTAGTTTATAATAAGTGAGTAAGAAATGAATCTAAATGAATTTGTTATTCCTGTGCTGCTGTATTCTGGGGTTTCAGGGTCTTTGACTCACACAAACTTCCTGCAGTTCCTCACAGCTGGGATGAGTCTGCGCCGTCCTTCCTTGGACGCGTTGTACCTCACTAGCTCCATTTCATCTAGAACCTCTTCTGACATCTGCAGAATGGAGGCCAGAGCTGAGCAATGGATCTCAGAAAGTTCACACTTTGATTTGTTCTTTGACTTCAGGAACTCTTGGATCTCCTGATAAACTGAATGGTCCTGCATTTCCACCAGACAGTAAAAGATGTTGATGCCTCTGTCAGGAGAAATTTCTCCAGAGCTTGTCTTCTTCAAGTTGTTGATGATTCTCTGTATGACATCTGGACTGGTGTCGGTCTGAGGCAGCAAACCTGCCACAAGTCTCCGGTTACAGGGCAAAGCGAAGCCATGAAGGAAACGAACAAACAAATTCATGTGGCCATTCATGAATTTTAGAGATCTCCTCAGAACTTGATCCAGAAATAGATCCATAGACTGACCAGGACGATCACTGATTCTAGAACTTGATGATGGATCTGAGTCGCTGGGTTTTCCTTTTTTGATGCCATCCAGGAACTTCTCCATCACCTCTGAGTTGCTGCTGGTGAAGCAGTGGAACATGTAGACTGCAGCCAGAAACTCCTGGATGCTCAGATGAACAAAGCAGTAGACTGGTTTCTGGAAGATCAGATTCTCTCTTTTGAAGATCTCTGTACAAACTCCTGAGTACACTGAGGCCTCTGTGACATCCAGACCACACTGCTCCAGGTCTTCTTGGTAGAACATAATGTTTCCTTTCTCCAGATGTTCAAACGCCAGCCTCCCCAGCTTCAGAAGAACTTCCCTGTCAGCCTCCATCAGCTCCTGTGGACTTGTCTCATGTCCTCCATGGTACTTGTTGTTCTTCCTCTTTGTCTGGACCAGCAGGAAGTGTGAGTACATGTCAGTCATGGTCTTGGGCAGCTCTCCTCTCTGCTCTGAGGTCACCATGTTCTCCAGAACTGTAGCAGTGATCCAGCAGAAGACTGGGATTCCACACATGATGTGGAGGCTCCTGGAGGTCTTGATGTGGGAGATGATTCTGCTGGACAGCTCTTCATCACTGAACCTCTTCCTGAAGTACTCCTCCTTCTGGGTGTCGCTGAAGCCTCGTACCTCTGTCGCCCTGGTAACACATGAAGGAGGGATCTGATTGGCCGCTGCAGGTCTGGAAGTTATCCAGATGAGAGCCGAGGGAAGCAGGTTCCCCTTGATGAGGTTTGTCAGCAGAACGTTGACTGATGATTTCTGTGTGACGTCAGAAACCAGCTGACTGCTGCTGAAGTCCAGTGAAAGTCTGCTTTCATCCAGGCCATCAAAGATGAAGAGGAGTTTGCAGCCAGCCAGCTGCTCTGCTGGGAGCTTCTGGAGTGTTGGATGGAAAACATGGAGCAGGGAGAGAAGACTGTGCTGCTGATCTCTGATCAAGTTCAGCTCCCTGAACGAAAGCAGAACCACCACACTGACATCTTGGTTCTCCAAGCCCTCTGCCCAGTCCAGAGTGAACTTCTGCACTGAGAAGGTTTTTCCAACACCAGCGACGCCGTTGGTCAGAACCACTCTGATGGCTCCATGTTGGTCAGGGAAGGTTTTAAAGATGTCATGGCACCTGATTGGAGAGTCATGGAGGTTCTGGATCCTGGCAGCTCTCTCCAGCTGCTTCACCTCATGCTGGGTATTAACCTCTTCACTTTGTCCCTCTGTGATGTAGAGATCAGTGTAGATCCTGTTGAGGAGGGTTCTACTTCCTGTTTCATCACTTCCTTCAGCCACACATTCACATCTCCTCCTCAGACTGATCTTATGTTCCTGAAGAACCTGCTGCAGAACAACATCTGCTGAAAATGAGACAAACAACAATAAAAACGATGTATTTATGTGTTCATCGCGCAACGCGAAATACAGTTTTCAGAAATTAGATCATTAGGGGCCATTTATTCTCACCTTGAAGAAGGCAGTTCTCATTGGCTATTTGAAGTGCAATTCCAATTTCAGGTCTTTTTCCACACTGGGAACTGGGAGGCTGTCCAAATGGGGCAGACTGGTCCCAGTGTGAGCTGATGTGTTGCTGATGGTTTCCATAGTTTGTAGAAATTGAACACTTCAACATTTCACGACCAAAATCCCAGGACTGTTTTTCTGCACATAAATGTACTTTTCGTCTCTGACAAAAAAATTACATATTGGGATAAAATTGGCAATTAAATAAATTACCAATGTATTTAATGAATTCACCATATTAAAAATATTCTTTCTCTGTCCTTCAGTTACTCTGTGTTCTCAGTACATACCAGTAATCAGTACATAATCTGTTGGTCAGTATCTACTGACCAACATCTTGGATAATCCAGGAAGTTGGTGAAGTGTCAGCATTTCCAACAGAAACCTCTTCTGGGTCTCATCCACAGAGATGCCTGGGGGCATTAGCTACCCTAATCTACCCTAACCGGCCTACCCCACCAGAGTTTGTTCAGATTTTAATGTTTAATATTAAAATATGGTTGCATCCTCTTAGAGCAGACTGACTGAACTGAGTCTCCCAGCTTTCATAGTTCTGAGAGCCAAGCTTTAGCGTCAGCCTCTGCAGGGATGGATAAAACTGGTCCTTCTAACCTGCTGGCTGGAAACATTGAAGAGCTTTAAAACCAGGTGTCAGTGCATATGGGGCTCTTAGAAGACAGTGAGACATGCAGGTATTTGTCTAATCCATGTACCTCAGAAATCAGCTCAATTCGTTGAGTTTTGCTTGTCGGTTCTCAGATTTATTTTTCTTTTGTTTTTTTCCCCTTTTCTGTATTTTGGGATTGATTTCCTGACATCTTTTCAGCCTGACTTTGCAGTAAGTCGACTCACAGAGCTTTCTCATATATTATTGATAAATAGAACAATTTTGTTCAGTAGGTATTAAGTTACATAGATTTAATCCATGCTGACATCAATGACAGCCTCTCCTGCATGTTTTATTTTAGTGGCTGCTAAACTTAGAAAACCCTCCACTTCCTGCTTTATCTGCTTATTTTCACTCTTTCACCTTTTTTGCAGTAATCCGGGATCATCTGAGAAGTTTAAAGGATCAACTTTGGATGAGTTGCTTCTCATGGACAGAAATCTTGGTGGCATCATTTCGTCTTGCTCTGAATTCACACCAAACATCTTGAGAACTAAACAGAAAACAGAATCAAGGCACATTTTCAAGGCTACAGAAGAAGTACAACAGATCAAGTTTAGTTTTAAATATCGAAAAAATCATAATTTTGTATTCAACCACAGTTCATGGAAAGTAAGTAGAAAATAAAAGACCTTAGATAAAACTCTCACCTTGTCCGATGATTCTGAGCTCAGAATGGTTTCTGTTTCATTTCTCTTGCCCAAACTTACAAGAAATCACATGACCCATTCCAGGAAGTGACTGTGTGTGTGTGTGTGTGTGTGTGTGTGTGTGTGTTGTGTGTCAGTGTGTGTGTGTGTGTGTGTGGTGTGTGTGTGTGTGTGTGTGTGTGTGTGTGTGTGTTGTGTGTGTGTGTGTGTGTGTGTGTTGTGTGTGTGTGTGTGTGTGTCAGTGTGTGTGTCAGTGGTGTGTGTGTGTGTGTCCGTGTGTGTGTGTGTGTCAGTGTGTGTGTTGTGTCTGTGTGTGTGTGTGTTGTGTGTGTGTGTGTGTGTGTGTTGTGTGTGTGTGTGTGTGTGTCTGTGTGTGTGTGTGTGTGTGTGTGTGTGTGTGTGTGTGTGTGTGTCAGTGTGTGTGTGTCAGTGTGTGTGTCATGTGTGTGTGTGTGTCAGTGTGTGTGTGTGTCAGTGTGTGTGTCAGTGTGTGTGTGTCAGTGTGTGTGTCAGTGTGTGTGTGTGTCAGTGTGTGTGTGTGTGTCAGTGTGTGTGTCAGTGTGTGTGTCAGTGTGTGTGTGTGTGTCAGTGTGTGTGTGTGTGTCAGTGTGTGTGTGTGTGTCAGTGTGTGTGTGTCAGTGTGTGTCAGTGTGTGTGTGTGTGTCAGTGTGTGTGTGTGTGTCAGTGTGTGTGTCAGTGTGTGGTGTGTGTGTCAGTGTGTGTGTTGTGTGTCAGTGTGTGTGTCAGTGTGTGTGTGTGTGTCAGTGTGTGTGTGTCAGTGTGTGTGTGTGTGTGTGTGTGTGTGTGTGTGTGTGTGTGTGTGTGTCAGTGTGTGTGTGTGTGTGTGTGTGGTGGTGTGTGTGTGTGTGGTGGTGTGTGTGTGTGTGTGTGTGTCAGTGTGTGTGTGTGTCAGTGTGTGTGTGTGTGTGTGTGGTGTGTGTGGTGTGTGGTGTTGTGGTGTGTGTGTGTGTGTGTGTGGTGTGTGTGTCAGTGTGTGTGTGTGTGTGTGTGGTGTGTGTCAATGTGTGTGTGTGTGTGTGTGTGTGTGTGTGTGTGTGTGTGTGTGTGTGTGTGTGTGTGTGTGTGTCAGTGGTGTGTGTGTGTGTGTCAGTGTTGTGTGTCAGTGTGTGTGTGTGTGTCAGTGTGTGTGTGTGTGTGTGTGTGCAGAAGTGAGAACCAGACAGAGAATAAAATCTGGAGCTCAAACAGAAAGCAGATGACTGTTAGGGTTGAACATACTTAATAAAGACAGAAAAGACAAACAGTCGGTATTCTTGCTACTCGCGAGGAGAACGGACAGAGATGAGCTTCAGTTACAATCTCCTGTCTCTCTGAAACACATTTGTCTGCTCCTCACTTTTATTGTTTCAGGATCCCTAAATCACAAAGACGCTGCAGCTCTAGAGAGGGGAAACAATTCATCTCACAGCTACAGCACCAGTTGTCATTTACTAACTAATACACAAATGATCCTGGACTAGATAATCTCGTTCCTGACACAAAGTCCAGCAGAATATACTGTGATTCTTCACAGTGACAGTTTTATAGCATTCCAGCAACTCAGCGAAGCAAAACTCTTCACCAAGAGATAAAACTTCAGGAAAACACTCTCTGCTCTGTCAGTGAGGCCTTCTGAGAAAGGAATCAGCAGATCAACAATAGAAACACTCTTAATTCTATAATGAGATTAACTTAAAGGAAAGCATAAAATAAATATACATTATAAAGATCAATGAGAATAACAAATATTGATTAATTATATCACAATTTCTCCAACACTGATGTTCTCACAGGCTGCAGTTTGTTGTCATCCACTAAGAGATTCGCGGTTTTTGAACCTTCCAGTTATTTTTCTTCTAATTGGTCTTCAGCCACAATTTTGGACAAATCTTCTTGTTTTTTAGAGCAACATCAATTGGGAGAAACTGGTGTCAAATCTGTGTGGGAGGAGCATGAAGCCTTTATCCCATCACAATCGGCCAATAGGAGAGCTCAAATTTTACGACGCTGTTAATGCTGAGAACATTAACATGCAATAATGAAAATTAAACTACTGCAGATCACATGCATAAAAATCATTGTAATTAACCACAGTAACGAGATATTTCAATAAAAATGCTACAAACATGTTAGTAATTACTGGTATCAATATTTATTGATCTAAACAGAAGTTGCTTGATGTGCATCGTCTCCTTCAGTCGATTTATTTGTTAAATTCAGATCTAAACTGATGACAAGCAGAAATTGTTCTTTTTGAATTTTCCAGGAAGAATATCGTCCAGATGTTGCATTTTACTTTTTTGTTGTTCATCATTTTGACAGAAAAAATAATTCCATCATAATTTACATTCACAGTCAGTTTTCATGGTGACACTGTTGACATTGGCGAGTCAGCTGCATTTCATTTTCAGCTGATTTAATCACTCAACAAGTTGAAGCAATATTCAAAAGCCCATCACACAGAAAGCAAATGAACACATTAAACCCCCCACTGTGCTCCCAATAAGTACATTTAAAAATCACAGTGAAACCTCACTAGCTCCATTTCATCTAGATTATGAGACTCTCATCGCACAGCCTCACAACTTCCCTCTGACCTTCATTACAAGAAACGCACAATCTTTCCCTAAGGGAACACCAGCTTGTCCTGCAGGTTTCAGATTGGTTTTTGCTCCAGAAGTCCTGATGCAAATGATTACATGACCTCCTCTGCAGCCAGCGATGCTAAACAAGCCTGTTAATCTGATTAAACTCAGGGATGTGAAGGAAAAGCAGCATGGAGAAACACTGTGTACAAAAACATAGCTTGTCTAAAATATATAAATCTAAATTCAGTTTGAAACAAATTTACAAGCAAAAAAAAAAATCTTTCTGATGAAATGTATTTGTGTAGCACATTGAGTAAGACTTTATTTGACAAGACTGACGTGATTCAGTCATGAACGCGAAGAGAACTTTAAGAAAGACTGTCGATAAATAACCAGACTTTAATGCAAAGTCAGCACTTTTAATGCAACTTTTAGAGCAACTAAGTTGCTGAACCAGCATTTCATCCAACTTATTAACATTGAGTTTAATTCTGATTATTTTCCTTTGGAAACAATTAATGGCAATTAAATTAAAAATATTCAAGAAATAGTGTCACAAGAATAAAACAATACTAAATTATGGCAAAACAAACTGAAGTATTTAATAACAAGCAAATAAGAAATGACATGAAACCATAATAAACAGTATTAAAATAAAAGAATGAAATCAAATTTTTGATTTAACTAGACCATAAATGGCGTTGGAAGACTCGTTTTAACAATGGAAAGCTAAGATGTCAAATTATAAATAAAATTCAATATTTTTAAACAGAAAGTTGTTTATTATATAAATAATTATGCAGACAATTCCACATTCTTCAGAAGAATTAAAATGCATCTGATTATTATCATCTAAATAACTACATGTTTATTGCAATGGGTAATTTAAACATTATGACATATGAGAGCTCAGAACTGATCAACTAAAATTCATTTCAAGTTGGATTAAAATTATTAATTTGATCCTGGGAGCTAAAACTGTTTTCCACTCTTAAAAAATAAAATGATTTTCATCCAGGAAGATTTGATCCAGATTATTTTCTTCAGTTAATCCTCAGTGAAATTAAAAATCACCAATATTCAGAAGCTGAATATTGTTTTTAATGACTGAAGATGACGTGAATATGAGAGGGTGAAACATTTGGCTGATTATTAAAGAGCATCAGAATGTTGCCCCCTGGTGGCTGCCCCTGAACTGCAGGCGGCGCTCTGAGGCGATGCTTTCCTCCAGGTGAGGAGCAGAAACTCACCTGCAGAAACTCACCTGCAGAAACTCACCTGCAGAAACTCACCTGCAGAAACTCACCTGCAGAAACTCACCTGCAGAAACTCACCTGCCGCGTCAGACAGGAAGCAGAACCATAACAGGAACCAAACATGGTGTAAATGAGCGCAGAGCGGTTCTGTTTGAAACACCAACACTCAATCAATCAGAACCATAATTAGACATTAAACGCAACAAGCCAAAAGCCAAAGGAACAAAAACATTTTAAAAAATGTAAAAAGGGAAAATTTAAATGAAAATGATTAATTAATTAGAAACCCTGAAATTAACTGGATTAAAATGTTCAATCAAGTTCAAGTTGGAACAGAAACATTTTGAGGATTTGGATTTTCTGTCAGCTTTAGGTTTCTGCTGTTAAGAATTAAAAAGAGGAATAACTTGATTTAGCTCGTTAATTAATTCCCCTTGTCCTGGATTCCTGTGTTTCAATATATGTGCAGAGAGAAAAGAGCAATCATACGACATCAGACTTCAGATATTCAGAGTTTTATCCAGAGAAAATCAATGCAAGAAGAATGTTACAATAAGCATCTCACCTAGATCATCAAAAGTCCAAGACATGACAAAACAGAAACAATTAACTGAGAAAAAAGGGAAACGAAAACAAACAAAGATGCATCTTCTGGGAAACTCTCACTCAGCACAAAGAGATTCGGACTTCTGATGTGAAACAAACCATTTTATAGAATGTGTATTCTCCTCATTTGAATATATGCATTAGGAGGTGTGTTTTCCTTTGTGTGGGCTGTCTTAATGTTCATTTTATTACCTCTGAGACCCACTGAAACACCCAGATCTTCTCATACCAGCCTCTGTCCAGACTGATATATGACGTGCAGCTGCAGCGTTATCTCTGCCTCAAAATGATTCCACAAGAAACCAGTTGGTGTTTTTAACCAAGCTTGCACAAAATGTAATGCTAAATAATGACGATAAGTTGGATCTAAAACTAACTCATTAAAAACATGCTTTTTAATGCTTAAAGAAATATACCAATATGTTTGATTATATGTTGGAACAGACTTCTATAGTTTTTAGTGTTTGCCTGAACTATTCAACCCTGAGTAAAGAATTTATTGCCCTGATAGCCAATACACTCCCTGTCTGAAATGTTCCTTAGGGAGTATAAGACTGCTTTCTGATTAGACATTTATGTAAGTTCAGAGAGTCACCAGTTGTCTTAGTTTGGATCTGTAT